CTTGTGATAGGAGGGATGAGCATACCCAATAGAATTCCCAGAAAGGTATTACCGCGCCCCGTGCCAACCGTAACGTAGCCCCCATCCCGCTTCGTAAATTTTGGAAGCTAGTGGCGCAGGGCCTTTAGTTAAGGTGTTCGGTCATCACATCCTACTTAACTTGCTGGGCCAGTAACACTATTAAATTCATCACACGGGCACAGCTGAGCGGTCTATAGGAGATTGCTTCTTCTTCTTCTTTCACTCAAGGAAGAGATATCCTGACTCCAATTCCTTCCTCTCCTTCTCTCCCTCAGTAGATTTCTCCGCTAGTCACTCACAGGTTGCCGTCTAGTTCGCCCGGGGAGGATCAGCCAGGTGACACGAAACATAGCTCTCCTTCCCTCCACCAGGGAAGGAAGAAGCACCCAGAATACGGGCAGCGAACATGATAATTTCGAGTCCCGCGTTAGGGTGAACATGCTACTACTCATGATACGAGAGAGTTTGTTTTCAATAGTTTTTTCAGTCACAAGTTGTCACTCGTCTATATTATAGTTCTAACGGAGGTTTTACACAGCCCATCCTCCGATAAAATACAATACCCATACCGCAAGGTAACCTACCGTAATATCTCCAACACCATTAGCCAACCAGTCGGCCAAGGATTATTTTTTTAAAAAAAAAAACCACTCCAGATCCCAATAGAGGTGCGAAGGGCCAAAAGGAGGGCTACAAATAGCGCACCAGAGGCGGGGCACATAAAGAAAACCCCACTTCAGGATCTCAAATACACGGCGAAAACCACAGCAAGATTTGGACATCCTGGCTACTACCTGCTTGGCACTTCTTCGGTATTCCCCGCCTCCTAGCGCTCGATCCTCTATATATGCTACCAAAACCCCCACAATAAGTCTTTTGTCCAACAATCTTCTGATCTCTCCAGGTGGATGACCTATACCCCACCCGCCGTGGGGAAGATCGACCCATCAGCATTTCCCGCAGTGTGAACTCCCACAGGGAGAACAAGACGCCATTACCCAGCATCAAACCCGGCTGGCTGCGACGCCGTTTTCCCGTATCTTTATAGCCTTCAGCTGTAAGTTACGGTGTGGTATCGGCCGTTTACAGCGCGCCAACAACCCACTGCACTGCTCGGATATTGTCAACAAGTGCCATACATACACACGTACTGTCCGAAATCGCAGCGCGCGAAGTGGGGGATCGGATATAAAGTAAAGATGGAGGAGTATGGGAAAGATATATGGAGGTGTTGATTGCTGGCGGTAGTACAGTGTTTTCCTCCCTCGTCTTATGCTGTTTAATTCTACTCTTACCAGGTGCCTATCTATAGAAATAACGGCGCCATACGATTCCTTATGCTTCCACGCGTTCCGAGACGAACATACATCTACCTCGCCAAAGCTAAACTTCTGATACACACCATGCACAAACCCAAGCGCGCCGCCATAGCGTCGAAAGGAAAGATAGGGGAGAAAGGGGCCGGGCAGGGCGGGATGGGATGAGAGAAGGGTGCCATGTTTTGAGCAGGTCCGCGATCCGCCATGAGCGCGGTTGAGTCTCCCAGGTTGTGGAAAATTAAATTTTATGGCTTGTCTATGATATCACAACTGGTTCTTTGGCCGTCTGTTCACACTATATCCTGCCCAATCCTATCCTATCATCAACCCTGTTAAGGTGGATAATATCGGAGGACGTATTGCACAGCGGGGGATAGAAGCCAAAGTGGATATGTGATCAAGAGTGATAGGTAAGGTAAAACAACAACTTCGTTTCTTACTTCTCAAAACCAACAGTAAAGACATCTGTATAAGTAAAACACAAACAATGCACTCTGATCCTTCCGTCGATCACCACACCAATCTCAATCTCTCTATGCATGCTTCCCTGTCCTCCATACGCTCCCGCAATAACAAAGGAAAGACATGTCTAATGAATCTTCTCTGTCAATCTCTGAACCTCCACACTGATCTATCAAACCTCTGAACTTCCTGCCAGACTCCCGAATCTTCCACAATCTATCCCAATCAATCCATATCCTTTCAGAACCATCAAAAAACCCCACTACTAGGAAACCGCGATACATGCGGAGTAAGATGGAGAAGAAAAGAAAAAGAGCAGAAAAAACATAGCCTGAGAAACGGGAAGATGTGAGACCACAAAATAAGTTAGGCGGAAGTTAGAATGTGAACCAAAGGAATCCAAAGAATACGAAAAATATCAGAATCAAGCAAACCCAAAGGACTAATGGGGGGATAGGACAAAGAGAAATTAGAAGAGTAATAAAGGTTAGTCGGTAGTAATTGCGGTTAACCTCCCTAGCATTCATCGGAGCGTTATCGCCCATCAAGGGATATGCTCAAGGAATCCGCAGAGCCACAAGCGAGAGCGGGCGATTGCGGTTTCAGATTGTCGTCATTGAATGAGCCGGGGTTTATATTTCGAGCGGGAGTTTTTTCCAACAAACAAGTGACTGGATAGCGGGTTTTCTCATCGTAGGACTCTAGGGTTTTGGAATCGGCGTGAGCCGTCTCAAGAGCAGATCCACAATACCATCATACCTATATCGAGTCGCCACCGACAGCGGTGTTCGACCGTCGTCACTAGATGAGTGGGGATCAACTTCCTTGCATTTGAGGAGCAGCTTCACTACGTGCTTATGCCCGCTCTCGGCCGCCCGGAACAGTGGTGTATGACCGTCGTTATCGGACGATCTAGGATTAACCTCCTTATGTTCGAGGAGAAGCCTCACCACACCCTCGTGCCCATTCTCGGCCGCCGCCGACAGTGGCGTTTGGCCGTAGTTATTAGCTAGGTCGGGATTGACTTCTCCGCGTTCGAAGAGCAGCTTAACTATACTTTCGTGCCCATTCTCGGCCGCTCGGAAAAGTGGCGTTAGGCCATCTTTATCAGAGGACTCGGGATTGACCTCCTTACGTTCGAGGAGCAGTTCCACTATACCCTCATGCCCATTCCAAGCTGCAATGGATAGTGGTGTTCGGCCGCTGTTATCAGATGAGTCGGGATTGACTTCTTTGCTTCGGAGGAGCAGCTCCGATATACCCTCATGCCCACTCCAAGCCGCCACGTATAGTGATGCTAAGCCGCATTCATCTGATGAGTCTGGATTGACTTCCTCACGTTCGAGGAACAGCTTCACGATGCCCTCATGCCCTTTCTCAGCCGCCACCGACAGTAGAGTCCGGCCACCGTTATCAGCTAAGTCGGGATTGACCTCCTTCCTTTCAAGGAGCAGCTTTACTATCCCCGTGTGCCCATTCTTAGACGCCGCTATGAGGGGTGTTCGGCCCTCCTTATCTGCAATGGTGGGATCCACATCCTCTAGTTCCAGTAGCAGGCTACAAACCGCTTCATTGCCGTTTCTGGCGGCAAATAGAAGGGGCGTACACCCAAAGAAATCCTTTCCGCTCACCTCTAAACCCCCCGACTCAACCAGAGCCATAGCAATTTCCTCCACCCCGAAGTACGCGATAGCGTGCGATCCAGTAAACCTGCAGGAGGGGTTCTTAGGCTCAGTGAGCTGAAGAATAATTGCTCCCCTGGCCTCCGGGCTCCATAGAAGCAGGCCTACAGATACATGCTGATCATACCGATCAAGAAGTCGGAGTGCGAGTGATTTTGTAGGTATTGTCAATTCCCTTCTGGCATGGGCTCCCCAATAGCAAGAGGCATATTCAAGAAAGGGTTGCTGTCCGTGGGACTTCCCAATGATTGGGTGGCAGGTCCCTAATATTCTGAGAGTTGAGGTATGTGAGACAAGCCTCTGCCATCTTGGAGTGAGCACCACCGAAAAGATCGGGATGCCTGCCGAGATACTCTTAGAGAGTCAAATGTATCAATCGAACTTTTAACCACTTCTCATCCGTCGTTACCAGTCCCAAGCAACAGCTTAATAATATCCCTATGGCAGGCACATTCTGTAGGTCAAGCTCCGTCGAATCTCTTTCAATCGCTAGCGCATGACATAGCTCCTCTACCCGCAGTGCCCGCCCAGACTGCGAGACCCAAATCAACACCTGAATCCCAAGTTCCCCTTTGTCTCCATCCTGCGCTCTAATCCGCTCCAGAGTTGCATCATAGGCACCGCCCATCTCCAGGCCATTAGTCATCCGTCTAAGTGTTTTCCTCCTCCGAGAAATGGCTGACTGCGCTAGGATCGCGCCCACGCTTAAGGAAACTAGAAAAAATCTAGAAAAATATCACTTGATGAACTGCGAATAAATCTGCACAATGCTATGATATCTCCCACATAACTTTACATGTCCGAAATATTTTTGTAAATAGTTCTGAAAGATTTCCTCTCTCAAACCCTGATCCATCGCTTCGGGATGTGTATCATTTGCTCAACCTCATGCTGAGATATTCCTCAATATCCTCTCTGCTATTTAGCCTCACCTATTTGCCCACGAAGATGCTTTCCCACACTCGAGTACCCAATGTGCTTTCCCGACACCAGGATCCCCATACCAAAGTAAGACAGGGCTGACCACCCCGTCCCCACCGGTATGCCAATCTACGAACTCATCCCTTCGTAAAAGCCAATCACCAACCCCCACCACCTGAGATTTTCTCACATCCTGATGCCTTTGCAAAGGAGCTAATGGAGACAACCACTCCAGAATCTAGCGTCTCTCATCGGATACCGAAAAGTCGCAGTTGCTCCAGGTGTTGTTATATAGCTACCGCTCACATTACCACAATTGGTGTCCCGAGAAGGATCTGGTTTTCGAGATCCGAAAATATTCATTACGCTCACTCAAAAAAAAAAAAAAAAGAAGGGGAGAGAGGCAGGGGGCAGCGATAGCGTTGATGAGATATGTGTTTATCGGGGTCACGGCGCGGTATTCGTAGGCACCGTCCAATCACTTCCGCTCCAAGAAAGCCCAGCCATGACTCAAAATGTGTACGAGTAGAAAATCAGTGTGACACCCAGGCTGCGATTTTGCTGCTGGCTGCGCTACCAGTAACTCATATGTAAGGTGCCCACCATGCCTCGCATCCTCCCCACATCCACCATCCGATCCGCACTCTTACCAACAGTACCACCTGCAGCAGCATCAACAAAAATACCAACCCGAACTCTCTCTTCCGTCCTCAACCAAATGTCCACAACCACCCCCCGAACCCTCGGAGGCGGTGGTATCGGCACAAACCAACCGCCAAACCCCGCCTCGGAAATCCGCACAATCTCCAAAACATTGAGTTACACTCTCCGCCATGGCGCCGTGAGGGAAGGCCTAGCGCTGCAAGACGACGGGTACGCCAACGTCGGCGAATTGGTTCCTACCACCCCACATCCCTTTCCCTCCTCTCCCTGTGCTAGCGCTAACCCTCGGACAGCTCCAACTCCCAAAATTCCGCAAGATGGGTCTAACTTTCGAGAAGCTCCGTCAAGTTGTTTCCGAGAACGACAAGCAGCGTTTCTCCCTTACCCCCGCCACCCCTTCCGGTACCGCCACCGCCGAGGCGGCGGCGATAGCGGGGGACCCGCATACCTACCTGATCCGCGCAACTCAAGGCCACTCCATCACCCTCGCCGACACCAGCACCCTCCTGACCCCGCTTCCACCCAACATCACCAGCGCCGTTCACGGCACATTCTACTCCGCCTACGAGGCCATACTAGCCTGCGGATACCTATCACGCATGGGGCGCACACACATACACCTCGCCACAGGTGAGGTTGGCGTCAAGAGTGGGATGAGGGCGGACGCGCAGGTGCTCTTCTACGTGGATGTGGAGAGGGCGAGGAGGGAGGGTGGCGCCGAGTTTTGGATTAGTGAGAATGGGGTTGTTCTTACTGCTGGTGATGAGTTGGGGAGGCTTGGGTTGGGGTTTGTGGAGAGGGTGGTGAGTAAGAGCTTGGGCGTGCTCTGGGAGGGGGGCAAGGTTGTGAAGGAGTTGCCCGAGGAGCTTAAAGGAGGGAGGATGCCGGTTGGGAAGGGGCATGTCAAAATGAGGGGCGGTGGCGGGAGAGGGGGAAGAGGTAGAAGGGGTGGGGGTAGGGGTGGAGATGTGGGAGAGGGGACAAGTAGAATTGGTGTTGTAGATCCTTGAACAGACCTCCGTGTTCCGTTTTAACAGACTCGTATATTCTCTTTGCTATGATAATTGCCAGAAAAGTCTATGTATTGCAACCCGTTATGCACCCTACCACAAATCACAGCACACAACAACCCACTAATAAATTCCCGGAACAATCCTTGACGGGACAAGGCCCGTATACCTCTTCCAGTCCGCTCCGTACTTGAGCTTACACTTAGCCTCGTCCCTGCGCTCCCGGTGGAGGAGCAGAATGGCAAAGTAGACAACGTAAAAGTAACTGAAAGGACCCCTATACCCTGTCGGCAGACACCACGCCCAAGCCATGATCCAGTCTCCCATGTAGTTGATATGTCTAGCGATACCCCACCAGCCAGTGATCATCAACCTCGACCCACTCTTGGTCTCCATGTACTTGATATGAGCCAACCTGGGATCGTTGGGATCGGTCCTAAAGTCGTGCTTCTCACGATTGGCTTCCCTGAAGATCCAGTAGCCCAACCCTTGAACAGCCAGAACCCCGGCAACGCCCAGAGGACCGAGCTCGAAAGGGTGCATGGCGAGGTATCGGCATTGAATCGAGTAGTTGAATGGGAGCCACATCAAGTCTCCAAATGAAAGCATGAAGCCGAAACCATCGGTGGTCACGTCCATTGTCGTGAGGACCGCTGGCTCGTTGTGGAGTGCATCATAAACGTACCACAAGTGGAAGAAATTGACGAGGATCATGCTATCGGTGATCTTGCCATGGGTGTTGTATTGGTGGGCCAGGGAGGCAAAGTTCAGAATTGGCCAGAGGATCATGCCGGGTCGGAGTTCGCTGAAGACTTTCAGGTCAAGGCGGCCGATACGTGGATTGAGGGGACGGCCGAGGAACCACTGCATTTTGTTCAGTTTGAAACACGACAGGAGAGGGGAAAAGGGGGGGGGGGTGCACATCGTAAAAAAAGTTACCAGTGTTATTCGCCAAAATCTCCCCGGTAAAGAAAGAAGAGATGTAGCAGTAGAATGCAAGAGTAATAGAGAACACCAGGGCACCGGTCATGAGCTGAAGTTGGTTGTCCCAGAGGTAGGCCCAGAGTGGCCACCCGAATCCCTCCCTGAAGGTCATGAATCCACAGTACCCCCAAACAGTCAACATGGAAGCATAGCCTGCGACAACAATAAGTCACCCGACACCAATCTCCATCCCGCCTCCCCCCGAGAAAAGCAGACGTACCGTTAAACTTGTATTTCAACCTCTTCCCATTACTCAACACAACGCCCTCCCCCGTCTTCCCCGGAAGGACAAAGTACATGGCCACCAGCGCGAGATACCAGAGAAAGTAGTGCTTCGTAACGTCCCAGTCGAAAGCCACCGACAGTCCCGGCCATTTCGAAGCGATATTCCCAACAGGATCTCGTAAGAATGAACTACTCGGGCACCCATCTTCGCTGCAAATAAAGTACAAGGCATATGTGGTTGCAGGTGCAGAAAGCGAAATGGCAAAGGCCCCCAAACTACCAATCATCAGCAAGGGAACATATGGATCGACCAAGGAAGAAGTAAACTTACGGTCCGCCAAACTCATACCCGTGAGCTGGAGGAGGCATGATTGTTGTCTACAGGCCGTGTTTGCCGCCACTCAGCGAGGAGGAAGGAATGAATTTATACGCCGAAGCAAGTCTCCCACGAAAGCCTGGCAGGAAGGAACAATGAACGAAAATTCAGCCCGGGAACACGGTGTCGACGAATTAGCAGCTCTATCGGGCTCAATCCGTCACAAAAACACTGAATGAGGCTCTCCCTCGGGTGATCGCGAGTCCGGAGGTGAGCCCACCCTCGGAAAGGGGCTTTTCCGTCTAAGATACCGGCACTGTTATTAGCACAGGAACGGTAATTGTATCATAATCCCCAATACTCTCCCTCACCCCTGTTGCCAAGACCCCACCCCTTTCAGGGCACAACAATCGATTTGGGGCCGCTGGGGGTTGATCCTCGCACATGGGAGATCCGGCAGCGCTAATCCCGATTGGATGTCAAGACTCTTGCATTGGTACGGTAACCGAGTTGGATCTCGTACTCGAGTACCGGCACGGCCATCGATTCTAATCGCACCGTATTCGTATGGATAATGGACGCGTAATTTGCCCACTGCCGATCCGCCGTGAGACGGGCCCGGGACCCGCCAGCGAGGGCCCTTCTTTTGGGGCCGCTACTTCGTTAGGGTCCCGCGTGGAGGCTCAGCGGCACTGGTACAATACCGTGAGATATGGAAGACGGAGGTGGTGCCCGCCCCTGAGGTGCACCTCACCTGTTCCCAGTGTTGCGTAACTTCGACCTTGGGAACCCCGCAAACGCTCGTGATCCCGGGGATTATGAATGATGAAAGCTTGCTCAAGCAAGCGGTCCCACTCCCCTCTTGCCTTTTTCATAATAGCAAAGTGGAGGCCATCCGGATGCGACCCCGTTACTCGTACGAGTGCAGTAGAGTTCGGCCATGGCATACCGCGGGTGAGATGCATATCGGAATATGGTACCGGTACGTGGGTGCCATGGAAATCCCGTCGTCCTTGCATGGAAGCTGTATCGTACCGGTATCTTGTTTGCTAGATCGAGTGAGGACATATTACAAGACCTCAAACCGGGTGCCCGAACGCGTGATCGCACGCCCACCCAATCCTCAGATATTGTGTGGTGCTCGGTCAGGGTACTTGTACAAGTAGGCTTCGCTGTATCATGATGATTTTCATACCGGGATCCAGTCTTTCTGTATCGGAGACCGGTACCAATAGATTGGGAATACCACTAGGAAAAGCGAAACCATTGCTGAGAATCGCCGCACCTTCCACCCTTTATCATATAAAATGGCGAAGAAAAACTCGAAAAACGAACCGAAAAAAGGAAAGACAAATGTGACAAACTTTTAGGTTTTCTTCCTTTTCCTCCGCACTCAGAATGTATTTCTGTATGTTTGCCTGGCCCAACTACTTGAGTACAGGTGAGTCTTAAAAGCACTGTTTTGGGTGGTGTTGGGTCAGGAATTCCAAAGAAACTGATAAAACCTTCACCCTGGGACTCGGACTACTAAAAACTGTGGGAAAGTGTGAGAAAAGTGTCTGGAGTCTTCAAGTTATTTCCATATTTCTCTCTGATTTTCTGATTTTTTATTCTTTTTATTTACCGGTGCTATCTGAGGAGAAAACTGCTGCTGGCGGTTCGTGAATATTTAGATGATTGCTGCTTTGCGAAACTATTTGCATGGTATGTCTAGGTCAATAGAGAGTTTGCGCAGACAGACCTAGGTGGGAGTTATTAACAATGTTGCTAGGGGTTGCCACTCCGATCAACAGCCCACCAGCATCGGACTCCCGACAATTGTTGAGTTTCTTAAACCCCATCAGTTTAAGAGATCCATACACTAGCCAATTCTTAACTTTCTTAAAACTGCTCTTGTCAGGATTGTCCTTGAGGAGAATGGCTACAAAATCATACCTGAATGGGGGTATAAAAATGCAGTGGAAGTGGGGACTTGTGGCCCTCAATTCCAGGTCCGATTTTCGGGTTTTTACACCTGGACCAGGTGGCCAAGACTCGTTGTTAACTTATATTAACACCACCTAAGTCACACCGCGCAAACTCTCTAATGAGGGAATGCAAAAGGTATTTACCTGGTCTCGAAAATGCTTTCTTAACACGTCCAGCGGTCCGATCTTATTATGTCAAGAAGACACCGATCCTTCTCCGAGGCTTTTGTCCCCGAGCTCGGGAAGTACGATGCCGGCGATGGTATTATAGATTTCAGGAGATTTTGCGGCAGTGTGGTACAAGTCTTGGAATGAAGTACGGTACAGCACTGTACCCGAACATTCAAGCCTGAATTTAGTACAGGTGCCCCGGATTCGTACGGATAATAATCTGCCATACTGTACGGGCTTTTGATCCCTATGTTTTAGGTACCGGCGCGCCATGCCGGCTCCCGGTAGACTACCCGAACCTACAGAGGCACCCATCACGCTGCTAGAGGGCATTGGGCTTCGCCTTGTCCAGGAGTGTATGCAGTCTATGATACCGAAAGCAGCGAGGCCTGAAGAACCCCAGAGCGGAGTCATTCCGCAAAATGTGAGCAAGCTTTGTGTGGGCCCCATGTTTCCTCGCAGGGATAGTGCCTGACAGAAGCCCGTTGACGCTCAGGCAGAGAACCTCTTCGGAGACCGGGGTCAATGATCTATAAGTGTGTCCGGGGCTGCGGTGTGGGATGTCTCCACGCCCAATGGTGGGGGGGGGGGCTGGGCTACCGGTAGTTTGGAGACTCGAGTATTGATAACCCTCGGCCCGATCCCCGTGAGTTGTGTGACCTTGAGCAAGAACTGTGCTATCAACGATAGGCAATGCGCAGTATCACACTTGGGGTTGGTTGACTTGCCGTTGTTTGAGCTACAGTACTAGCACACACGTGAGGAAATGGGTGTGTTGTAACGACGATAACCAAGCTGAACGATGGCTAGCCAAACATCCTACTAACTATCAAAATGTGCGATGCTGCTTGAACTCGACAACTATGATATGACCTTTATCTTGGCTTACTAATGGTAGTCTAATTTAAGTTAAACCCTCAAGCTTCCAGTTGGCGCCGGACAATTGAGTCCTACATTGTCCTGTTGACCGCCGTACCGGTATGTTGATTCGAGGAGTCCCCCACCATACCGATAGTGAATTGCGGTCCTCGAGTTTGCGAGAGTTTCTCGAGAGCTTGCACTTGGCATCTCTGTTCCACCGTGCCCTCTGAAATTCCCGGACCCACCATTCACACCGGCCTGATATTCTCACCCACGCAAGCGCCAAGATTGCTCCTGGAGTGCGTTTCCGGTTCTAGAACACCACCTGAACGGATAAACTGGACTCCCCCCAAAACCTTGATATCGTGTAGGCCAAGTAGAACCCTAGATCAGGCGATAGGGAATTTGGTGGATGAGGGGCTATTGAACGGTGTCAATCGTATCATAATAAAACTTCTGGGGCGAGTATGTGACTGAAACAACGACGAAGACCTTCCGTTGGCGAAGGCGCACCCGGCATTCACTTTACTCGGGCAGAAGGCTCCACATTATAATCCAAAGTTTGAGAGCCATTAGGCCTGCGGAAATTGAAACTCTATTGTAGCTTTGATAAGTACCTGGGTAGATGCTAGTCGATACCCCCACCCCCCCACGAGTACAAGGATCAGCGATAAAAAAGTGGGACGGAGGAGGGGAGTTGGATGTTGACTTTTAGTCAGAAGTAGCGGTATGTCAAAACTAGCTTGTCCAAAAGCACAACCCCCCCCCCAATTGCCCAGCAACGAACCTGGTGAGGGCTGTTCTTTGATAGATGGATGTATTGTATTGGAGGGCCACCAGCAGTTGTTCAAAGTCGACCGAGACTGGAGGAAATGGAGGACCCTCTCAGGTCCATGTTTTTCTCGGGCGTACGGTACCACCCCTATCATACTGGAGGTTTGCTTGTTCACCGCACTAGTTATTTAGCAGGAAGAGCTAGTAAGAAGCCTAGAAGCTGAAAAGGAAATTCACGGAAAATTGTGATTATCATACCGCGGCAACGTGTTTGGGGGGGGATTTCTTCCTCTTTGTTTGCTGTGGCGTGGAGTGGCCTAGATTCTTGAGTACGATATAGTGCAGGATAGAGGCCTATTTCCCTAATCACGATAGTCTAGTTATCAACGCCAATGATTGTAGCCATTGATTGTAACCTACCTACTTATCTACCTACCTACCTATCTACCTGTAGGCCATCTAACGCACCCACAGCACAGTACCGCACCCTACAAACGCTGATTCCAGCGACCTCTCGTAAAACCACGGTAGCATCCAGCTATTCATTTAAATAGTGGAGCAACTGGCAGACCACCAACGATCTGATTGCCCACTCGTGCCAAATTTAATCAAAGAATCACGCGCTAGGATGAGAAAGCGGGAACGATCGGAAAGCGAAAATCACTTATGATAGCTCGAGTCACGCTTTGAGCCCTTACCCTTAACCAAACGCACAACGAGTGATGATGTCAAGCGCGCACCAAACACAGCCCAGAACGAAGAGCCCACGAGTAATTGTGCTCCTTCATATATGATAATACAGTGATTATCCGACTTGCCTCCAAGTTACGAAGAATCCCCTATTGCAATTACGCCCTAGATACCAATCCACATACATCCTCACGCCTGATCGTGAGAGAATGTAAGTTACCCCCGCTAGGCGGTATAGCAGGGCAGTCTCGGCATGGAATAACTCGTGCGGATCACAAGACCCCCATTCTGAATGTCTCTTCCTGGTGAGCATGGGCAGGATGGTAATCAATACTTGTGCTCGCAGGGGTGAGAATAAACCTCCCTCACTTTGGAGTAATCACCGGTGCTCTGGTAAGTTAAAGATAGTTACAATAACGGTGTCCCGACGAGATAAGCTGATTACAGTAGTGGATAGAGTATCGTACAAGTGCGGTACCGATTACGGCGCCGCACCATCCGTACGTATGTCGTCAAACCATCTTTCTTTCGACAAGAGCGATATCGATAAGAGGCATTTACTACTAACCAAGATTGATTCCGTCAGATCCTTAAAATACCCGGGAAGCGGCGAGTGGGGGTGCTCCTAAGCTAGGAGGAAGAAGGTTTCAAATATAATACCTAGGGCAAAGGTAACTCGTATGTAAGAACTGGGATTATGAATTTACAATAAGCGATCGATCTGACTTGGTGGGTTTTGCTCGTTGGTCCCCCCTGCTGGGTGTGAAGCTGGCGATTTCGTGCAGTCAAAGGCATTTTAGGGAAGGGCAAATGTTGGGGGGGGACTGGCTATGATATCCAAAGCGAATGGGATACCCCGTTCCGGTTGGGTATCATATCAGATGGAGGATGGAGCTATCGTACTATATATCCGATAGGAAGGTAGCGTTAGATTTTAGTGACGGAGTATGATAAGGGTTGTAAAACACACGGAATCCAGCGCACGATTCCGATAAAGTATCATAGAAACCCCCCATAATACTCGTACAGAAATATGGGATAACCGCCGATCTTTCTCCATCCATCCCGTCCTTTCAAGGTCAGCATTCTATGCCCAGATGTATTCACAGGTCATCACTCGTATGACATTATCATAGTCAAAATGCATAGATCCCAAGTACAGTACATGGACCATCAGCATTCACTTTATATCACACCCGCCCCTCCCACCCTTCATATTCGGTAATCTTTTCATTATAGTAACCCCATCAACCATCTTTCCCCACATCACTACTACTAGGTAGTGGAGGGCCACGAAGACGTATCGGTGGTGACGGTCATGGCAGGGGCGTATGATACCAGCTACAGTGAGGACTCTTCTTCCTTGGCGATCGCTATGGCAGAGAGGGGTCTACACCACAGGGCAGGGACCTGCAACCGTGTCACAAAAGTTGTCGGGGTAACTGGTCACAATATATTATGATATCATACCCGGATGCCACCCGGATAGCGTGGGGTCGTGAGGAGAAGGGACCCTAGCTTCATATCCGCTAGGAACAACCCTCGAACCCCAACCCCGCGAATACAAGCAGCGTAGGGCCAAGTCAAGTATCATACAGTAGACCAACTGAATTATGTGATACGCTCCACGACGACCGGTGGGTGATCTTTCCACGCAAATATATGTACCTTCTTCCGCCGTGGGCTTCGTCCAGGAAGGAAGGAAGGCCACGGGGTCGGATATCGTCATGAAGTGTCACTCGGAGTTATCATTCATAATAACGTGAGTTAGCCAGAGTGCGATTGCCGCTAAGTTATGTGCCATTGTGAGCTGTATCTGTGACGCTGTGCTCCGCATTAAGGCCGGCTGTTCGGGGGGAGGCCATGGGCGGGGCAGGGCTCTGCTCTTGATGGGGTGACGTACGTTTGCGCGGTACGAGTACAATACCGGACTAGACTAGACTAGAGTGGGAGCTGCCGCTACCCACATCACCCGGATCCAGGCGAGAAAGGTAGAAAGCCGGCGGTAAGCCGTAGGCAACAATGGCCGTGTCGTGTCCACAAACGTCACCCTGTTACGACTACAAGTGCCATATCATACCTCCGGCTCGAGAAAGGGGGCAGCTGGATGCTCGCCTCGAGCCACAGCGTGGTGGGTTGCTCACGGGGTGGACAATCGTATTGTAGCCTACCGTACCCAATCATCCGTACCCGAGTACCGTACTGCACCCTCCAGCCACAGCGCCACTCCCCCAACCGCCACAGGGGCTAGGGGCGGATGCCTGATGTCCGATATCTGTCATTCTCGACAAACCAGACAAGGGCAGGCTGCAGGCAACGCAATGTACAGTATGTAACGCCCAGCCGTACCATACCGCACCCGAATGCTATTCTATTTCTTCCCATCCTCTCTCCGTCAACTTACCCTCTTCTCCATCCATCCTCCTCTCCAACCAACCAGACCAGACCAACCACAACCACACAACCACACAACCACACAACCACACACACTTCACAACGAGCCAGAAAAACAGGGCGAGAAATAAATAATCGGATAGACGGATAAAATAACCACGGATAACTCATGGCATCACGCGACGAGGCACCTAAGCTATCCAGCAGCGTGAAGCTTGTGCTTTTGGGAGAAGCTGCGGTCGGGAAGGTATGTTGATCGTTCATCTCAGGCCATCTGGCCGATAAGGCGTTTTCCCTCTTTTTTCTCTCCTTCTCTCTCTAACAGTTCACAAGTCGTCACTAGTCCTTCGCTTTGTAAACGATGACTTCCAAGAGAATAAGGAGCCCACGATTGGCGGTAACTTCTCCCCCCGCTCCCTTCCTTCCACTGCCCGCTCTCGCGGCAAACATCGCTAACGAACGGCACCCGAGCAGCCGCTTTCCTGACCCAAAAATGCGCCCTCCCAAGCCGTACCATAAAGTTCGAAATCTGGGACACAGCGGGACAGGAGCGCTTCGCCTCCCTCGCACCAATGTACTACCGCAACGCCCAGACCGCATTGGTGGTCTATGACATCACGAAACCGACCTCTCTCACAAAGGCCAAGCACTGGGTCAGCGAGCTGCAGCGCCAGGCGAGCCCCGGCATCGTCATCGCTCTGGTCGGGAATAAGCTCGACCTCGCCGCTACTACCGCCTCTGATGGTGGGGATGCGGATGGAGGCGATGGAGGTGATGGAGGTGATGCGGGTAGTAGGGCCGTGCTCACGGCGGAAGCGAAGGCATACGCGGATGAGGAGGGATTGCTGTTCTACGAGACATCCGCCAAGACTGGGGAGAACGTGCAGAGCGTTTTCGAGGCTATTGCCAATGCTATTCCCGAGAACACGCTGAAGCCTAGGGGTGGAGCGGGCGGGTTTGCAGGGAGTGGGAGAGGGGGTGGTGCTGGTGGGGCCGGCGGTAGTGGTGGGGAGGGGAGAGTGGGAACGGCGGTTAATTTGGAGGATGGGGTCGGGGCCAAGGATGGGTGTGCTTGTTGATTGTGATATTATGGGTGCAGTGCGGGAGAGAAGTTCTTTTTCTTCTTCTTCCTTTCTTTCTTTCCTTTGGGTGGGGAGGTTTGAAAATAGTCATCGTGTTGGGACAGGGGAGGAAGCATGGCGGTGATGGTGGTTAGTGGTGGTGGTGGATTAGATCGATTCCGTACCACTTAGGAATCTTTTTTTTTTCTTTTTTCCTTCTCTCTCTTTAGCTCTCATGTCCTGTTCCCTTTCCCTCCTCTTTTTCTTTTTTCTTTTTCTCTTTTTGTTTTCCTTTCCGCCAAAACGTAGCATTCCGTAGCCGTGAACGCTCTCCCCATTTCTCCATCTATCTCAGCTCTCGGCCAATCAATCTCACGACATGGCTTAGCCCTATTTCCTCCTCTCCTCCTACCCCCCTCCGTTTTCCCCTTTCTCATGGCTTCTCTGTTATTGGTGAATGGACGAATGAAATGAATGGATGGGTGGATATGACATGTTTGGGATATTGCGGTAATACACGTTTTCGTTACAATCACTCGACAAAAGTCAGCTTTTGTTTGATGGAGGGTATGGTGGTCTAGGATATCGTGCATGGTCTATGGGAGGGGGATGATTCAGGGTTGGAATCACGTTGTGGGGGGGGGGGGGGGTTTAGTGAGTGGTGGTTTGGTGGTTTGTCATGTTTGTTGGGTTGTGTGATGTATGATATGATGTGATGATGGTACTCGAGTAAAGTGTAAGTTACTCTTTATGTATGCAGCGTATGGTATCATATGTACGATAGGATGGCAATGCTTTTTTTTTTCCATTCTCCTCTTTTCCATGAGCACCGTAGAGTATAGTTATAGTGGAGTGACAAAACTACCTCTCTTCACCGGGTGCTCTAATCCTGGTCCACCCGGGCATTCTACCCTCCCTCCCCCCTCTTCCACCGTCCTCACCGTCAACTTCCCTATCGACATTTCCCCCAGTAGCAGCATCATCCCCACCGGCACCGTCACCGCCGCCACCACCTCCACCACTGGTACCGGCGCCAGCACCAGCACCAAGGACGTCCCCCACAAGATCCCAATCCGCTACGATAGTCTCGCCCTGCAACGTGTTCCTTACCTTCTCCACAACGCTCTTGAACCCGACCCGAAACCTCGCAATGCCCGCCACCCTGCCGGCCGTCGCCAGGTTCCCCAGGCAGCTCCCGTGACTCATCCTGCCGAAAGCGGGCACGGGGGTGTCCCTGCTCACCAGCAAGGACCAGAGATTCACCCCGGGCGCGCACACGGCGTCCACGTCGTTGATCTCGAGACCCTGGGTGCAGCAGGTGTATGCTATGTTGATGGCGAGGAGGGATATGCCCTCTATGAATTTCGTGTGGGAGGCCGGGTTGTCGCGGGAGAGTGTGGAGAGGGGTGCTGGGAGTGAGAGTGGGCGGGTCACTGTGTGCCGGGCGTTCAGGGTTCCGCGGATCTGGGTGAAGGGGTGGGATTGTGTGGGTAGGAGGATTTCGTTGGGGAGTTTCAGGGAGAGGTAGTGCGCTGTTAGGAGGAGGAGGTGGGATAGGTGGGAGAGGGAGGTTGTTATTTGTTGGTGGGGGTGCGCTATACATCCATTCATTCATTCGTTAGCTAGCTAGCTAGCTAGCCTTTCCTTTCCCCCTCTGGAGGAAGAAGAAAAAGAAAGAGAAGAAGCGGAAGGGGAACGTACTGTTTAGATCCGTGAGATAATTCGGTATAGCCACCCCGCCAATAATGTACTCCACCCACCCACTCTTCCGCCGCTTCTGTCGAAGTCCGTACAGTCCGGCCGCCTCACGACAACGGTACCCCCGCGCCTCCGCTATCCTCCCATGCAACGCTTTGCTCCTGTTGATCCAGCGTTTCGTCTCGCGCTGCACGCTCGAGACCTCCGCCTCCAGCCGGTCCCGCAGTCCCATAGCCTCCTCCAGCATGGCCCGCCTGCGCTCGTTCTCGCGCCGGAGCTCTTCCACCCGGACCATCGCCGCTTCCCGCGCCGTGGCGAGGGAGGCCTTTTGGCCGCGGATCTCGCGGAGCTTCAGTTCGAGCTGGGCGGACTCGCGCTGCTGGGTGGCGGTCTCCCCGTTCCGTGACTCGAGGTGCTCGTGTATCCTGTCGGATAGGGCGTCGCGCGCGGCGGTCTGCTGGAGGAGGTCGTAGCGTTGCGGCCAGAGGGCGCCGCGAGCGCAGGAGACGCAGGTTATCGTAGGCTTGTCGAGGGTGCAGATCGAGCACTGCATTGCGTTTGTAAGTGTGGTGGGGGTGGGGGTTTGTGTTGTATTATACTTGCAGTATTATACGGCGGCTGTAGCGGTTTGTAGTGGTTGTGGTTGTTGTAGGATGGAGGGTGGAGGGTGGAGGGAGTAAGGGTTGAAGTGTAGGCCTTTTTATTTATGATAATAATAATATTATTATGGATGTGGGAAGGAGGGAAGTAGCATACGTGGGATTGAGGGTCCAAGACGATTTACTATATTATGATGATGGGGAGCAGTAAGCTGCAGCACGCTCGAACCAAAAAGACCGAGAAAGTCCAGCAAGTTACTGTATGACCGTTCCAGATCCCCAGCCTGGTCAAGCAAAGTCCTGTATCACGCAAGTTACACACACATCCCATTCCGTTTTCACTCCAAGCCATCCATCCTGCAGTCAAGTACTGTACGATACGAGAATGATATGATACCATACTGTACTCTACCGGTAAGGCCTACCGTATACCGTATACACCGTAACTCCAAACCCGGTTGCCATCCACAACCCGTAATTTAGCGGCACCGTACCTTTTTTCCCATCCCATCTGCCATCCCGTTCATCCCATCCACCCACCCACCCCACCACCATCCATAACAATGTCGGCAGCAACCACCAAAAAGCGCCCCCACGATGACCCTCCTCCTCCCCACCCGATCCAAACCCCACCACCCCAGCCCCAACCACACATCTCCTCCTCCTCCTCCTCTCCTCCTCTTCCGCTTCCCTCCTCTTCCGCCACCACCCCCTCCTCAACAGAAAACCTCCTGACCCCTCTCCCCCCACACGACTGGACAGCCTTCACCTCACGCCTGACGACTACCCTACAAGCCTCCCTGGACGAAACCTCGCGACTGACCAGGGAGTACGAGATGTGGACTTGGGTATGTGTATATATAGCCGCTGGCGTACGATAGGTGGTTGACTTTGAATTGGGCGGCTAGTTGTACGAAGTGTGGAGCACCTCCCGCAACCAGGAGGAGACGCAGCGCCTCGGGAGGGAGATGGCGACGCTTGTACGCTGGACCGGGATCAAGGAGGGGGAATTGGAGAAGGCTAGGGAAGAGCATCGGGAGAGTATGTTGGCCATCAGTGGGGTTTTGGGCATTGTGCCGAGGGGGGTTGGGGGGGCGTAGGAGGGGAGGGGGGGTGCAAGTGATTCTCCGTGACTTGTTGGGATTTTAATATTTGGTGAGGGGAGTTTTGATGGGTATCCTATTGCTTTTCATCTGTTTTGCCGGTAATTACACGGGATGAGATACCGCTGCTTTAGTCGTGGTATCGCTTTCGCGGAATACATCAAAGGTCGACTACACAGTGGGAATATCATGTGGTTGATCTCCCTCCAGCACAGGCTTTCTAATTTTCGTGAGTAGATGCCTTATTTACAATCCCCCACCTCCACCCACCACCCCCGAAGCAGAGGAAGAAGGGAAAAAAGGGAAAAGAAGGGAGAAGAAAAGAAAAAGAAAAAAAAAGCCAACCAAGAAGTAGTAAAAAAAAGAGCAGAGAGAAGAGGAAAACATAAATAGCCTCCCTTACTGGGACAAAGAAACCCGGAACGTAGGAGGAAATGAATAAATGGAGAAATGGGGAAACGAAAATGAACGAATGCAAAATGTAACCCAGAGAATACAATTTACTTTTGTGGTGTAGATTTTTTGTTTTTCCCCCTCTGCCTCTGCCCCCGCCACCGCCAATTCGCACCTATCAACCTGCCCGTACGTCTGGCCGGCCGCCGGCCACTGTATATATATATATATGTGCATAAAAATTTAACAGAGGGAGGGGGGGAATGAGGTGACGGGGGGGGTGGCACGAGATGGCCACTATTCAACACCGGCGGCACTACCGGGGGGCGACATCCCCCCGACAGGAATACTCCCATCCGTAGCGATCATTTCGGCCAGGATGTCGAGCACGTTCTGCTTTTTTTAGCATAGCCCCCGAATGAAGAGCAGAAGGAGGGAGGGGATATACCTTCGGCACGGTCTTATCATAGATCGATATCAAATCCTTCGGCTGAGGGTACACTTTCAAAGCCTTGTAAAAGCAAAGAGCGGCCTCTAACGCCCTATCCTCTACTCCCCCCCTCGCGCCCCACGATCAGCTTTCCCCCTTCTCTTCCTCTCCCTCAAATGGAACGCCCTTTGGGAGCGAGGGTTCATACCTTCCTGGCACAATCCCTCCCCCTGCGCAACCTCACTCATGAAATAAGCCTCCTTCTCCTCCACATCCGTTGGGAAACCCTCCGCCTGAGCTTCGGCCACGGCGCGGATCAACGTACGCCGCTGCTCGGCGTTCGCTGCTTCGGCCTGCGCCTTCTGCGACTTTAGGTGCTTCTTCGCTGACCGGCGGAGAGCTTTGCGGAAGTTCGGGTCACTGCGCCGTTTGTAGTCGAAGTAGACTGCGTCTGCCATACATTAGCCTCGAACTATCACCCCCCCTCCTCCCCTACGGCGGGGGGAAGGGAGCGGGGGGGGCGAGGGTGGGGGGGGGGGGGGTTCACAAGCTAGTAACAACGTCAGTATGTGTTTGATTGAGTACGAGTACGGTAGTGGGGCTGATGACAGATGGAGGAGTGACAACCCACATCCACCCAATCACCGATAACAAAGCAGGAGGGGAAAGGGACTCACCGCCACCCAACGTTACGAGCGTTGTTGCGCCGATGATTATCATGGTCCGGGTTTGCATGTTTGCCGATGATGGACGTGAAGTGATCCGTCCGTTGGTTGATAAATAGACTGTTGATTGCTGGGTGTATGGGATGTGGTATGTCTATGTGGGTGTGAGAATGGACGGGATTGTTTAGGGTAGACTACCGGCCTTTTTTTCTTTTTTTTCTCTTCCCTTTTTTACACTTTAGGCTTGGGGTTGGTTGGTTCCTATTTCTTCCTTGTGCGGTTTGGATTTTGGGTTGGGTTTCCCCCCGTCACGGTTTGGGGTTGGTGGGGTCAGGTGACTATCATATAGATTGATTGATGCGAGTATGATAGATTAGTCAGGCTGAAGGGTGGGCACAGTGTACTGTGTACTCGAGTGCGAGGGGGTGATGGACTGGAGGCCCGTTGAGGAGAGAGGGAGAGGGCGAGGGAAGAGTGGAGAGGGAGGGGGTTGCCAGGCGGAGGGAAGGTCTGATATGATATGACGTAGTGTGCCATTTCTCGCAGCACCCCCACGGGTGCTGGGATTTGGTTCCGCCGTATCACAACATCATCTTCTACTTGTACTCATAGCATCACTGGAAGCGAAAATCGTATTCTCGAGTCGGTGGACTGTTTGGAGGTTGTCGACTGAACTGTCAACTATCGGGTCACAACCTGTGGCGTCCATTTTTACCATGTATCTCCCCCCCAAGCCCGCCACGCGTCAGGATCGCTTCACTATTGGGCAGACTATGATACAAGTAGCAAGATTCGGTGATGCCTTTACGAGTACACCAGAAATCGCAAAGTGCTGACTGTACTGTATCATACACACCAACTCCTTTTCTGAATCGAGTGCGCTTTTACGCCAGCTTCATCCTAGAGAACAGGGCCCCGGACGATGGGGGAGGAGGAAAGGAAAAAAAAACTCCGTTGACTGTCTGCTCAGTCTATAATACAGTACAGTAACCAGATCGCTTTAAAAATGATACCGGTGTCGCCACTACTGTCCCTTCCCCTTCCCTTCGCTCTCCTGGAGCTCTCTGACAATAATCTTGACGGATTCGGGGGGACAGGCTCCATCATCCTTGCCATCTTCAAACCCACTACTGGTCCCGATGCCGAGGTATTTTCCGTTGTTGCTGAACGAGAGCCCGGCGATACTGGCAGGATATCTCTGATATTGCTTTAACCGACGTTTGGCCATTCCGTCCCAAAGACTGACAACTCCATCGCCACCGCCGGACGCGAACGTTCCGTAGCTATCCAATCAGCTCAACCAACCTCGAAAGGGAAGCGAAAAAAAAAAAGGAAAAAGCTCACATCGGATGGAATGCCAACGCATTCACGGGGTATATGACATCCACACCACCCTCCGCAGACCTGTGACACTTGAAAGCATATTTTCGCTTTTGGCTCTCATCGCTCGGATCAAAGAATTCTACAGCTACCCTTCCTTCGATGCTGCTGCTCGCGTAGCCCTGGGCGTTGGGCATACAGCGTACCGTGCGGGTCATAAACTTGAGAGAGCTCTCGCGGCGCTGCCAAGGGGAGGACATATTGCGTAGATCGTAGAGATAGACCGAGCGGGACGACATGGCAACAACTAGTATATGTGAGATTGTCGACAATGAGAATATTTTGTGCGGTTGGGCGTGGGAGCTAGTGGATTCTGGAGACCTGGGATCGATCTGTTTAATTGACTGGTCCCAAGAGCCGCTCAGGAGAGATCCTACGAGCAATCAGCATGTGGAGCTTGAAATGGGATAAGGGGAGAAGGTACTAGTTTCCGTATTGTAGCAAATGGATTTGACCGCGCTTTCGTGTGTGGCTAGGGTGCCCCCTTTACCGGTCTCGGGATCGAGCCTGCACATTATTTCCATCAGTGAATATAAACCCAGTGGCTTGAGGGAGGAAGGGGGCCACACTGTTGAACCTGCCAATCCAGTCCGGCCGAAAACACATTGCCGTCCGTCTCGCCAAAACAGCAGTCCAGTACCGACGCTGCATGAGGGAATGCAGTCAGTTTCGAGCCATTCAGGCCAGCATTTGTGTCGTAAAGATGGACATTCTTATCCCAGGAGGAGACAAGGAGGCGCGAGGGGTCATTCGGGGAAAAGGTGAGGGAAGAAATTACATCTTCTGGAGGGCTAGAGAGCTCAAATTGGTTTGCAGCTGGATTTCACGATCAGAATGGTTAGTCCATAGGCCTCACAGCGGAGGCTTGAGGTACATACGCTGTGACATTTTTGGACGTGAACGCGGATTACCGTAACGGCGGAGGGCAGGATAGTTATTCCGCAGCTTGCGGCAGTGGAGTGTGTTTATTTGAACGCAGGCTGGTCGAGTGTGAGGTTCGAGGATCAGATATGATAAGATGGGGGGGAGCTGGCAAGGTGTTGGAAGCGATGATAAGGACGACCCGGACCTCTGGTTACCCGGACCAGGCCACTCAGCGGCGTACCGTATTCTCTGTCTGAAGCTCCAGTGGTTGAGCCTCCCATAGTATCCCCCAGGGATCAACGGCAGAGTGCCGCTACCGCATCTTCGGGAAGACGAAACGAATACTGGCACAGAAAAGATAGGGGTTATGATAGAGCATGAAAGGAGGGATGGCGGGACGGAATAAAGAGGCTCCCTTTTTCTTCTCCCGCCCTCAATGGACAAAATGCAGGGAAAATCCTCACCTAAACGTCCTTCGATCGTGTTCTTATATACGGTTCCGTGCGTTCTGCATGGCATCCAACCCTCCCCAAATGCTGCACCGGTAAGATGTACGGTATATCCCATCATCGACAGAATTATCGGCTCCCTGAAAGAAAAACTTCCAATAGTTCTACCCGTTAAGATATCGCAGAGCTCTCTTCCCCCTCAAAAAAAATCCCTGGCCTCCCTCCGGCCCCATAATACCTCCGGACCTGGAAGGGGAGAAGGACGGAACCCCACCTCACCTTGTCTGCTGGTCACCGCTCTCCCTCATATCGTACCAAGCTTTCCACTACCGGTACTGCATCATTCCGACCTCTTGACCCGCATACACATAATTCATAGTATCATACCCAGCCCGCTGAGCCTCCCGCTGCCTGTCTCCGTCCGTTCACTCTACTCACTCATCCTTCCTTCCCATCCCCATCTTCCACCTCTCTGCACCCCAAAACTTCTGCCCTGTAATCACCCTGCTAGCAGCTCTACCGCCAAAGCCTCAACAACTACTCGCGCAAATTCTCACTCACCCACCCATCCACTTTTGCTCCTCGCCAATCGTCCCATGCCCTCCGCTCCACGGGGAATAGCGTCATGAGCACTCCAGTGAATTATCTGATCCCCCGCCAAAAGGACGAGCTGTATGTCCTTGCTTGATCGTTTTCCGCTCCCCCCCCCCCTTGATCTTGCTTCCCCCTACGGATAGCGAACCTAGAAGCTTGCTAACCGGCCGGCCAACCAACCAGCCACAAAGCGATCTTAGCCTACTTTTCCGCTTCTGGACTATCGAATACGGGTGCGGCGCTGAGGGAGGAGCTCGGTGTCGGCGATGAGTTTCTAGACCAAAATACCATGAAGAAGTATGAAGGCGTGTTGGAGAAAAAATGGACAGGCGTGCTTAGATTACAGAAAAAGGTTTGTCCCAATTAGCTTACTTTTGGCCTCGCATCGGCAGTCTGCTCATTTCTGACCGTTTAGATAATGGAACTTGAGAGCCGATTGTCCTCCTTGCAATCAGAATTGGATTCAGCAACCCCCACCTCGCTCACCCGTCGCAATGTTGATCCTTCATCGTGGCTGCCTCGGGCTCCTGCCAGACATGTCCTCACCAGTCATCGAAGCTCCATCAATTCTGTCGCCTTCCACCCCATTTTCTCGGTTCTCGCCTCAGGCTCCGATGATACGACCATCAAGATTTGGGATTGGGAGCTCGGAGAGCTAGAGAGAACAGTCAAGGGCCATACCAAGGCTGTTTTAGACCTTGATTTTGGGGGGCCCAAGGCGGGAGTGTTGCTGGTGTCTTGTTCGAGCGATCTCACGATTAAGCTGTGGGATCCAAATAACGAGTATAAGAATATCAGGACCCTTACGGGTCACGATCACTCTGTTAGTGCGGTCAGGTTCATTCCCAGTGCCGCTGGCGAATATCTGGTGTCGGCGAGTAGAGACAAGACGTTAAGAGTTTGGGAAGTTGCGACCGGGTACTGCGTCAAGACAATAAGCGGTCATTCCGACTGGATCAGAGATGTAGAACCTTCTCACGACGGGCGATGGCTACTATCAGCTGGAGGCGACCAGGTTAGATGCGCGACAACCATGAACGTATTACAGGGTGAAACGTGCTGACGAGTAGTTGATCAGACGACACGACTATGGGATGCCTCCACCGCCGAGCATAAAGCCACATTTATAGGCCACGAACATGTGGTAAATTGCTGTGTGTTCGCGCCGCCTTCGGCCTATCCGCACCTGGCGACAATTGCCGGCCTTAAAAAGCCTCCCCCAGCAACATCGTCTTCGGAATTTATAGCCACTGGATCCCGTGATAAGACGATCAAACTGTGGGACGCGCGGGGCACGCTCCTCAAGACGTTGATTGGACACGATAACTGGATCCGGGCTCTAGCTTTCCATCCGGCTGGGAAGTACCTTCTCTCTGTCAGTGATGACAAGACCATCAGGTGCTGGGACCTGACGCAGGACGGCCGATGCGTGAAGACGGTTGACGAAGCGCACTCCCACTTCGCAACCTGTCTCCGATGGGCACCGGCGCCTGCCAAGGAGCAGACAAACGGGGAGGCAAAAACTAACGGAACTCCAAAGGCGGGAGAGAAGATTATCAATGTCCGTTGCGTGATAGCTACGGGGAGCGCAGACATGAACGTTCGGGTGTTTGCCTCATGATTCACGGAGTTGGTTTGGGCTGAGTACGGGGGCATCAAAAGCAGGCGAAAGGGATGTCTGGTTACGACTTTACCGGTTTCTTTTTCTTTTTCTTGAATGCAGCCCGGTCCTCCTCTTTTCCTTTCTCTCTGACCTTTCCTTTCTCTTTCTGTTACGGAGTTTATTCACGAATAGTTTTCTTTATATCATTTTCCTTCGAGACATTGCTTCAATTTGCTCTCCGTAATTTCCGTGGCAGCCATCATACCTTAAATTTCTTTTCTTTTTCTACTTTTCTCTTACCGGTACTCTCTTCATATCATTGTGCTGCTGTTTTTTTCTTTCTTTTTTCCCCCCGATGGCAATCCCACGTAGATTTGGGCATAGCTATCCACAGTCAAGTCTCCAGTGCTCTGTTGTTCCCTCCTTAACTCACCTAATCATCTTACCAGTACTCAGGGGTATTTCTATTTTTTACCTTTTTTATATATATATATTACATACTTTTTTTTCATTCCCTTTTTTAGCCTAGATGGGTTTATTAGGTATTCTCCCTACATCATACCCTTACCATTTACCCTTCTCATCCCCACTCTCATCATCTCTCCATCTCTCCTAAGGTGCGATGGTGATGCGGTACGTTATCGTGCCTTTTTCCTATTTACTTCGCCGCGTGGTCGTGCTCTCCTTTTCTTCTCCCCTATGATATTTCTAATGGGAAAAAAAAAAAGACTTGAACAAAATAACAAAATAGTACCAACGGACATGTTGGGCTCTTTTTTTTTATTTTTACCTTAGCCAAAACAATCTCATATCATCATTATTAAAGGAGAAGGAAAGAAATAAGTTGTAGCGGTCCCTTCCATCCTGATCCTATCGTGTACAGTACCCGTACTTGTGACATCCTTGTGGTACTCGTATCAGGTATCATGGATCACTGGTTAGGCGAGTGAGTGAGCGAGTGTCTGTGGGGAGGCTCAAAAATACGCAGGGCAATGATACGTTGAACGCCTCGGTATTACCGGTATTGCTCCTGCCACCGGTACCGTTGCCGTTACCACATGATACCTGTACTCGAGTACCTTCTATGACGGTAGGGCTGGTTGGGCTGAAATTCTTTTGTCTCACTCGACGTTTTCGCCTTTTGATCATTCCACCACCGCTTACCTCGTGCCAGAACAGCACCCCTAACTCATAACCCAGCTCAGACACCACCTATCATACCTGCCTCTCTATCTGTTTACCGTACCCGTCGAGCACGAAAGGTCCACCGAGTTGGCAGACAGACGGACCAGCCCAACGCCGTGAATACCCGTTCTCGACGATAAGAAAAGGTCACCGCCACGGGTACAAATAAGTCCTCGCCCCTTCCGTATCTTTCTCTTCTCCTCGTTTATCCCAATTTACCCCTTCCGGTCTGTGCATAGGAATAGCGAGGAAGGAGGCGAGCAAACTGCGAGAGCCGCAAGCAAAGGGTGAAAGAATGTCCGAAGCAACAGCCCCCGGCGCCGACGCTGCTGTTCCTATCCACTCACAGCAGCACAGCAATGCCCCGCCCGCCCGCAATCGCAGTGAGAACAAGCAGAGCTTCGACTATATTATCCGCAGCGGTATAGCTGGTGGTGTCGCCGGTTCCGCCGTGTGTCCTCATCCTCTCCCCCTCTCCCCTGCTCATCCACTAACATTCACTGCAACAGGCCAAAACCCTAATAGCCCCACTCGACCGCGTAAAAATCCTCTTCCAAGCCTCTTCCCCGGCCTTCACGAAATACACAGGTACCCCTTTTGGCGTGCTCCGCGCCATCTCCACTATCCAGAAATCCTCCGGTTACACCGGCCTCTTTCGTGGCCACAGCGCAACCCTGCTGCGAATCTTCCCCTACGCCGCTGTCAAGTTTATCGCATACGAGCAGTTCCGTGCGTACCTGATAAAGTCCCCCGATCAGGAGACTGTGCTGCGACGTCTAGCCGCCGGTGCTGCTGCCGGCACCGCTAGCGTGTTTGCCACCTACCCGCTCGAGGTCATACGCGTGCGACTGGCGTTCGAAACAAGGGTAGAGGAGAAGAGCTCGCTGAGGGGTATTGTTAAGAGGCTTTGGCGGGAGGGGGCTGGTGGTGTCGGTGGATTTTATCGCGGTTTCGGGCCTACGGTTCTTGGTATGCTGCCGTATGCTGGCATGTCCTTCCTCACGCACGACATCGCGGGGGATTGGCTAAGGCGGCGAGGATACGTTAGCCTCCCCAAGGAGGGCACGAAGCACCATAGCGGGAAGAAGCAATTGAAGGCGTGGGCCCAGTTGTGCGCTGGTGGCTTTGCAGGCATGGTTAGCCAGACGGCGAGTTATCCTCTCGAAGTCATCCGCAGGAGAATGCAAGTCGGTGGTGCCGTCGGCGACGGCAGGGTCGTTGGCATGCGTGAGACCGCTAGGGATATTTGGCGTGGGGGTGGAGTTAGAGGTTTTTTTGTAGGGTTGTCGGTACGTCCTACCAAATTTTTTTCTAAATGGGTGGAGTGGACTAATGTGCCTTGGGTGGGTAGATTGGATACGTGAAGGTTGTGCCGATGGTCGCGTGGGTTCTTCCTCTTCTAGCTTGCGCCTATCTTGACGTGGGTCGAATTGTGCTAACGATGGCTGTATTGTTAGTACTTCGTTCTTTGTGTACGAACGGTCAAAGACATTTCTTGGGATCCCATAATCCCTTCCCCCCCCCCCCGTTTTTTTTTTATTGTTAATAGTATATTTCCTACACAATGCTCGATAACCTCCTTCAGTTGCTTTTCTTTCTAGAAGTTATAAGATTTTTGACCCTTTTCCTGTTCATAGCATTTCCTAGCAGTGCTAGTGACCTTCTTCCCTGCTATTCATGCATGCATACATATATATACATATACCTAGATGACACCATCGTAAATTACATATCCATTGCATTTCCGGAGTTTCTTTTTTTCTTTTCCTTAGTTTGTCGTTGGTTGATACGTTTTTCTCATCTTGATCCTCTCTTCTATCTTCAGCCTATTGTACCGCATTCTTCCTCGGTATATCGGCGGCTCGGCATTCAAGTGGTTTAGCTTGGCTCAGTGCAACTTGACCTGTGTAGAAGAGTTTTTCTTTTTTTTTCTTTGGGAAAAACTCGAGTTGGCAGAGAAAAACAAAACTTGCGAGTGAGCGTTCGTGACTAGAATGCGGTGTTATTGCAGGATTGGAGGAATTAATGAAAACTGGGCGAGAGCTTAACACTATACAAGTGCTTTCGGTTTAAACTTACAGGGACTACGGTGGTCTACTGGATCGCGATGAGTAGGGGAAGCACAGTCATTGGACATGCAACCAGGCAGGAAAAAGGTGCGATGGCGAGCTATAGCGGAACAAAAACAAAAACAGGAGGGAACTTTTGTTTTTGCTTTTCTCCCCCCTCCCTTGGCTGTTACAAAAAGAAATAAAAGGGAGAGGATTAAACCGGAGCATGAGAGAACAAGAACGACACGCTCTCGCCATTATGTGTTCTTCTGCAGGCTTCCGCTAACTAAGCACGCCATGGGTATCAGTACGATTCTTCAAGCATATAGAGAGGGCGGGTACCGTAGGCGCAATATCGATAGTCTCCAACTTCGCACACCCCTTCTTCTTCTCCTCGTGGGGGACCGTGTTCGTGACCACGACCTTGCTTAGCTTGCTGCTGTTGATTTTCTCGCAGGCGCTCCCGCTAAGTATCCCGTGCGTAACGATGGCCACAACCTCCTTGGCTCCGGAAGCTATGAGCACGTCGGCGGCTTTAACCAGCGTGCCACAAGTATCCGCCATATCGTCGACGAGGATGGCGATCTTCCCGGCGACATCTCCGACCAGCGTCATCCTCGACACCTCGTTGGGCCGCGCGCGCTCTTTATGTATGAGGGCGAAGTTTAGGTCTAGACGGTCGGCCAGTGCGGTCGCGCGTTTGGCGCCGCCAGCATCCGGAGATACGATCACTGCGTTCCTGTAGTCGAAATTCTCGCGGATGTAACGGAGCGTGGACGGTTCCGCATACAAACTAACTCCTGGTCAGTTTCCGTGAAGCGGGGGCAAAAATTGTGGGCTGGGTGGACGCACTTATCAACTGGCACGTCGAAAAAGCCCTGGATCTGGCTGGCGTGCAGATCCATCGTGATGATGTGATTGCATCCAGCTTTCTGGAGCATGTTCGCCAGCAGTTTCGCGCTGATCGGTGCGCGGCTCTTGTCCTTTTTGTCCTGCCTTGCGTATGGGTAGTTTGGCATCACAGCAGTTATTCGCCGCGCGGAGGCCGTCTTGCAGGCCTTTATTATTATCAGCAACTCCATCAGGCCGTCGTTAAGCTCCTCGCCCGGCTTCGTCGACTGCAGGATGAAAACGTCCTCGTCACGCACTGACTCGCGCATTATTACGCTGGTTTCCTGGTTGGAGTATTTGAAGACAGACATGTCGAGGAGGTCGATGCCTAGACTGAATCTTTTGTTAGCCGGCTAGAGGAGAAGCGGGGGGTGGTGAGGGAGGTGTATATACCGTTCGGCGACCTTTTTGGCTAATTCTGGGTGGGAATTTCCTGTCAGGAGTTTTATTGAATTGGTGGCCATTGTTTTTCTTCTTCTTTCAATCTAACCTGTTGGGCAATCAGTTTTCTTGAAAGATGGAGATTATTGTTGTGGCTGCAGTGGTTGCAATTGTAACTAAGTTTAATGGGGTTGTGCTCTCTGCTAGGAGGAGAAGAACTTCCTTCCGATACGTATCATACAAAGAGGACATCCGGCCGAAGAGTGAACCCCTCCCACCGTCGCTGTTGCTCATCGTCTTGGCAGGCACCACCAGATCTAAAAACCGGGTAACCCGTGATCCCGGAACAGCTGCCAGCTTGCTTGGTTCAACGTCGCCTGAACTCGCCGAGCAGGCAAAGAAAGATACGGTAGCCACACTCACAACCGTCAAAACAACAAAGCTTTGTGGGGAGCTTTCGTCTTTTCTCTTTTTCCTTTTTTTCCCCCTCAAGTTACTGTGCTTTCTTTATCGTTTTAGCGGAACCGAGATCATCGGCTTGACTACAATCAATCAATCAATCAATTTCACAATGGTGTGTCTTTTCACTACCTGATTTTCTGGTTGTGGAGTTGGGATGAGCTAAAGATGGGATGCGATGACTTAGACTCAATTATCCAACCTTCACGATGACATGATCGTATGTATACATTACGGACCTGATAATACCCCGGAGGTTCCGACAGAGCTGGACTGATGGGACATATGTACAAATAGCATGACTGCGCTCTGGACTACTATGGTAAACGTCTCGCTGTAATTATCCCCCCGCTCCCTCTATCCTATCCCTTGCTTGTCTGATAGGCTAATGGATGGGGTAGACCTGCTCCTCCGACAAAACCATCAAAATCTTTGAGGTGGACCGCGACAACCATCGTCTCCTCGAAACTCTTCGCGGGTGACTTCCCTCCTCTTCCTCTCTCCCCTTCCGGCCCAGCTAATCCTTGATGAAAGCCACGATGGGCCGGTCTGGCAAGTCTCCTGGGCCCACCCCAAGTTCGGCACGATCCTCGCCAGCGCCTCCTACGACGGAAAAGTCATAATCTGGCAAGAGCGCTCAGGATCGTGGTCGAAGCTATTCGAGCACGCGAATCATCATGCCTCCGGTAATCCCCCCCCCCCCACCCTAAGCTCGCGGTGAGCAAGCAAGTGCTAAAAACGCAAAGTAAACTCCGTCCAATGGGCCCCTCACGAAGTCGGCGCAGTCCTTGCCTGCGCCTCCTCCGACGCTAAAGTCTCGGTGCTGGAATTCAAGGACGACGGAACCTGGGACACCAAGCTCTTCGCAGCCCACGTGATCGGCTGCAACGCCGTATCCTGGGCGCCAGCAACCCAACCTGCTAGTCTCGTCCAAACCACACCTTCCCCCGCCTCGACCTCCACTACCGTCCCCGCCACCCAGCAGCAGCAGCACCTCACGCAACGCAGATTCGTAACCGGCGGTTCGGACAACCTGGTCAAGATCTGGTCTTACAGTCCCGAGGTCGGCACCTACGTTCAGGAATCTGCCCTTGAGGGGCACCAGGATTGGGTCCGCGACGTGGCGTGGGCACCCTCCATCTTGCCGAAGTCGTACATCGCCAGCGCGTCGCAGGATAAGTCCGTCATCATCTGGACTCAGCAGGACGGCGGGGCGTGGAATAAAAAGGTGCTGCAGATGGACACGGTGCTTTGGAGGGTTAGCTGGAGTCTCTCCGGGAATGTGCTTGCTGTTAGTGGTGGGGATAATAAGGTTAGTCTTTGGAAGGAGACTTTGAAGGGAGAGTGGGAGAGGGTTAGCAGTGTTGAGGAGTAGATACAGAGGTTGTACTGTACTGGTATCTTAGTATTTTTTATTTTTTATTTTTTTCCCTTTAACGGTGTGGGCAGGTTAGACGAATGGATGGAGACGAAAAAAGTTTGAGACGAGCCGATTGATGGCTTTAATTACCATGTACCACATACCGCACCCCATACCGCTGAAAAAATGAAAATGAAAAAAAACAAGTGTAAAGAAAAGAAACTCCCTCTATAGAAGGGAGGTGCACCACGGGATTCGTTGTGACAGTACGATATTATACACTCCAGTAAAAAAATAAAAAAAAGAGTATAAAACGTTAAAATTAAGTGCTAAAAACTAATGCATACCCATACCACCTCTTCCCCCCAATCCGCCCGCCGACCCATCCTATAATACAGATACCGGTAACAATTCACAACGCCACTCCAAGTAAAATAAGGTAAAGAAAATCAAGAATCATCCCCCCAATCCTCATCCAAAGAATCAATCAGCCTATTCTCACTCTCTAGACTGCTCCTCCGAGCACTTAGGCGATCGTAGGGGCTTCGCGGAAGATGCAGTCTATCGGCACAGCGGTTCCAGATAGATTCAATGAGGGCCTACATTTTTTTCAAAAAAAATAATTAGAACCAAATTGTATATTGGCTATGCCTTTTGGACCAAGTTCAAAAACGCTCCTTGCCGGTAGGGTGTATGTGTTCCATTTTTTGCTACTACTCAAGCCCGCTGCCAAGTGGAAAGATGTGGTGACTTTTGTAGCCATGGGGATGTTGGAGAGGAGGAGAGATGCCGGGGACAAAAAAATTTGGAAGGAATACCCACCCAAACGCCGCCGACCAGGCTTGCCCAAACTGCATAGTTCGGCATCTGGCGCCAGCCCCTGGCGTGCATTACCGTTCTTTGGTACATGCAACCGCCGACGAGGTATACCAGTGCTGCTACTAGTCCTCTATTGTGCGTTTGTTAGCACAGCTAACAGGCCCAAGGGGAGGTTTGGGGAGAGGAGGGATACATTATGCCAAAAACACTAACAGGGCCCAGGGCCTGCGTTCCAACAGTCGGGCACGCAGCCGAGGATCGCACTTCGAAAAAGTACCCGCACTCATTCACCTCCCCGACGAAGCTAATGACCGGCCTGATGGCGTCGCGGTCGCAGAGGTGGGACATTATCGTGCTCTTCCTGTACCCACTTTCCTTCTTCTTCTTCTTCTTACTGGTCTTCTCCTTCTCCCTCTCCTCGTCATCATCGGCATCATCCGGCGTGGGACATGGCGAACCACCGACGTACTCCAGTACCAGCTTCCTTCCCCGGAAGTACGGGCTCGTGGAGACACCGCCGATAGAGTACTGCTTACCCTCCTGGCTGATGTAGAATGCCGAAATATTGGATTTTTGCGAAGTAGGTACTGACTCTACGTCAACTACACTTGAGACCACGGGGGCGCAGATGTTCAGGGTGAAGTTTGCAGTGTAGTCGTGTCCACGGGCTGTCCAGTCGTGGACTGTGTTGCTTTCACTGCTGCTCGGGGAAGAGGTGCTGGCAGCGGTGCGGGTTAACTGGCCGAGGTCAAAGAAGTTACCGCTTTGAGCAGAGGTTACAGTGCAGGGTTTTTGTGGGGGGGTGTTGGAGGAGGTGTCTGCTGTTGTTAGTTGCAGGAGGGAGAGGATGAAGAAGGGTAAGGTATAGAGAGGGGAGGCTGGCCAGAACCTCATGATTGCAAGGAGCTATGATAGAAGTGGAAATGCGGGGATTTGGAGGAGGAGAAGGTGATGATTTTGGAAGCCCGGAGGTGCTGGTGGGGAGGTTGACGTGCCAGGCATGTGGTGGAGTGTATGGGGGGGAGCTTGACCTGACCTCATTTCCCAAACTTAGAAATTCCGGGGTTACCCGGCTGTGTGATGGAGTGACAGCAACTGGGCTAAAGTAGTGGGAAATGATAGTCCTGGGATAAAGGATTTCAACAAGTAGAAAGCAAGAGGCTATGAGTGCCTCTTACTCGAGCAGTGTGCGACTAACTAAGGTCTTCAAACCCCCTCTCACGCACCATCATTCTCTCCCGAGCTTCCACACAAATCGTGATGCTATTCCTTACAGTCTTTGAAGACAGCAGCTACTAGCCTTGCCCCCTACGGTGCTACAAGACCAATGGCTTAGTAACCAATCGCCTGGGATATGAACATAGCCCCCCTCCCCTGGCGTCATTATTGCTAAAGGGCTCTTACTGTGCCTCACAAGGGATTGCTTGAATCTCAGCTCAGCTTGCACCATAACAGCATCCCAAAAGCCGCAGTCCAAACCACCATGACTAAGATAACACACTAAAGACCAATCCGATCAAGCAAATCAATCTATAGAGAGAAAAAGATGTCCGACACCCATAGTCCAGAGCCCAACCTTTATATTTCCGCAACCCAGCCGGTAAAGAATATACATCAAGAAAGGGTCAGCTTTTGTTCGGTTTATCGAACATTAGTAGCCATCACCAACAACAGGGAAGTCAAAGACAACGCTCTTGCCAGTCAACTTCTTGTAAACTTCTCCGAAGGTATCAAGCTTGTAGTCGACACCCGCACGCTCCTTGGCGTCGAGGAAGACCTTGATGATCTTGTGACCGTCCTCCTTAGTGCGGATGCGCTTGCCGACGATCTCGGTAGGGAAGACAAGGTCGTGGAGAGTGGCGTCGTGGACAGCAGTAAGTGTCCTGGAGCGCGGACGCTTCTGGGTCACGCGGGATCTGCGAGACGGGAGGGGGAGAATGCGGCGTTGTGCAACGAAAAGAACATGGCGGTCAGAGAACTTCTTCTCGAGTTCACGGGTTAATCTGCACCCATAATCATCAGTCATCTACCTAAGATCTAAATAGGATTGCTAAATAAATACCTCTGCTGAACTTTGTGAAAACCATCCAACAACGGGACCGGAACGAAAACAACAATAGCCTTCTTTCCAGATCCAACTTCAAGCTGCCCTCCGCGAAAAGAAAAAACATTCCCACCATTAGCATTCCCGTACCTTCCTTCACCCTCCTGGGGTCCGAAGGGGAGACTGGGATATCCTGAATAGATAAAAAAGACTGCGCAATTACCTCTTTGGCGGCGCTGAATTGAAGAGGCCGCAGAGCGACCCTAAGATCGGGAACTGACTGCTCGAGGTCGTAAAGGGCCTGGGCGATATTGGACTCTAGTTCACTAGGATTGGCATGGGAGGGGGAGGTGAGGGCGATCTTGTTGACGGACATTTTAATAGTTGTTGGTGATGGTAGGATGGGCGGGTGGGTTGTTTGATTGTCGGTATTTTTGAGCTGGTTCCGTTGGTGCAGAGAGAGAAGTTTGGATTGGGCTTACCTACGCGTTGTTGGTGGGGGACTGTGTGTGGGACTGTCTACTGGGGTTTGCGCCCTGCCAAGATTTCGAGGCAAGCTACTTGTATCATACGGTACTGTGGTTGTAGGTCATGACGAAGCACTCGGCCATCGGTGCATCTTTCCTTATCAGCCGCACCTCAGACTTAACATCGCCCTCCCACATTACTACTCGTACTGATAAAGCATAATACTGACACTTCATTACATGCCATAACTGTGTCATACTACACAAAACCCCTCGCATGACCACCGCCAGCAATGTTATTAATAAACAAATAAACCCCGATCCCGATAAAAGCCCCAACCTCTGTAAGCAAACACGGAACGCCAGAAATAGCTCCCCAAAGCCTCCCTCCCTCCTCACTCCTCTGCGGCATCCTTACAATCCTGCTCATAAATTGCCACCGCCGCCTCAAGTATAACCCCCGCCCTCTGTTCCAATCTGCCCCTCATCTTGCCCATTTCCGCCTCTCTCAATCGCAACTTCTTGGGCTGCGCTAAGTCTAATAGCTTCACTAAGATCTCCACGTTTGATGCCGACACTGCCTCCACACTCTTAAGCCCATTCTCGTGAAAAATCCTTGCAGTGACGCTCTTGACAAACGGTATCCTGGCAAGGTCCATCAGGTCGGCCTTAACACCCATGTCGAGTCTCCAGCTGTAGTGCTCTAGCAAGACGGCTAAGCCCGTCCATCCCATAACCTTGCAAAAGGTGCCGCTCGTCGTGGCGAAACCTTTGCAGGTTGTCGAGAGCTGCTGGATGAAGCCGCGGGCGATATTGTAGTTTGCAGCCACTATATGCACGGGTTTTTCGTTAAGGAGTTCGCGCAGCATGAGGGAGACGTAGAAGCGGCGATAAACGCGGGCTTTGGAGATATTTTGTGGGGAGTCCTCGCGGAGGGTGCCACCTTGGGCCCTGTATATACGGTTAAAAATATGAAGTGAGGGCGGGTGAGTGAAGGAAGGAAGGCGCCGCCATTACATTTTATTGACAAAGGCTGGATTAACGCCAACGAAATTCGCTGCTCGAATACCGCTTTCGTCAAGCTTTTCCACTTCCTCGCGCATGAGTTTCCAATCTATGTCTACACTTGCGGTCGTGGAGGAATGGATCGGAGTAAACTGGTAGACAATGTGCATGTCGCCTTCGAGATTGAAGTTCATTAGCGCCCGGGATAGCTCGTCGTGTAGGAATATTCCTTCTTCGGGACCGAATCCAGATGCAACAGTTGCATTCCCTATCCTTGTCGCGTAAAAGTACCCGCGAGTTCTGTCTTCATTTATTAGCTTCATTTCCTTGAGGTACTCTATTGCATCTAGAATCTTTGGTTCTAGATATTTTAGTGGCTCCGGTGTTGTGTGGTAGATTAGCGTTGCGTGCATGTATTCGCTTAGGGAGCCGTCGGACGTTGCTAGCCTTGTAGCTATGCCTTCTAGAATAGCTCTGTAGGAGTGAGAGTTAGCGATATCTTGAGACAAGTTCACGCATAACACAAATACACTACCTCTTCAAACCGGCAGTTTCCCCCCCAAGACAACTCCGAACTGATGGCATCGGTGCATTGAGTAGCTCCTTGACCGGTACCAAGTCCTCCTTCCTGCAACAGAGGTAATTTTCACCATGGGTATCCCTTCCCTTCCTTCCAGCTCTACCTCTCATTTGTTTCCTTGGAAGTCGTTAGAGTTAGACCCTTATTAGGGGAGCAGGAAGCGCACAGCATGGTCGGTGAAAGAAAGTCCCTTCCCATCCTCGGTGATATAACAACTCTTCTGGCTAACAAAAAGTACCATTAGCTCGAGAAACCTCCGACATCTGAATCACTTACCGGGCAAATTAACCCCAGCCGCCATAGTGGCCGTACAACAAATAACCTTAATGGACCCCTGATCATACGCCTCAGCGATTAGATCTCTCTCTTCCGTTGTCAATCCTAATAGGTTCCTAGTCGGTAAGCTACCCCCTTACAACCCCCCCATTTCCCTCAGCCAGAACCACAAACCAGCATGATGAAACGCAACCCCTGCTGGCACAGTCTTCTCCAAAGCGAAATCCAATCCAGTGCTCGTCGTCGCAAGATCCCGAACGATTTCCATTCTCTTTTCCCGGACTTCTTCATCCACCGCAGGCATAAACTTGACAAGCAGCTTCCCAACATCCTCACATCGCCTCCTACTCTCGCAGAACACGAGCACCCCGTGGTCCTCTATTACCGCTCCGTAGACTAATGATACGATTGCATTAGTCACAGGGTCCTTTAATTCCTTAAGCTCACTGGAGGGGATTTTGGCGACGAGCTTTTCGTCATAGGTGTAGATGTTATTGTCGTAGACCAGATGTTCTTGTAGAGGGATCGGTCGGAAGGCGCACTCGTAGAATTGGGCTTTTAGCCAAGTTGCCAGGACTTTTACGTTCTGTTGGGCGGAGGTTAGGCTGAGTTATAGAGTGTAAAGATGGGGGTAAAGAGGGGGGGGGGGGGTACGGCTAAGAGTGGCTGACATGCCCACAATCTGAATGTTCTCTTCTGCCAGACAAAGTAATTTTGTTGCGAGGAGCTCAAGGATATATCCCCGATGATCATCATCCAGCATATGTAATTCATCGAAAACCACGATGCCCAGTTGGTCTATAGTGCGGTCTTCTATCGCAGCATTGACAAGTGCGTTTGCCTAGCATCACCACAGACAAAAAGATCTCAGCTGAATGATCGTAATCTGCAGGAGCTATCCCACGAATACCCATCTGGCGAACCTTCTCAATAGTACAAACAGCAACATCCAACTCCTTCCACCCCACCCTAACCTTGGACCCACCATGAAACCCGACAATATTGAGATGCCTCCATAAATTCACCTTATCCCACCCCCCTCTTTTCGGCACCGCAACCCGGACTTTCTCCAAAACCTTCTTGAGAAACCTTGTCTTCTCTTGAACGATAGCGATGTACGGCAACACGATGATAGCTTTCCTGCGCTCATTCACGACCTTCCTTATCGCAAGGATGTCCGCCACGAGGGACTTGCCGGCGGACGTAGGAGCGGTATAGACGACGTTGCTCTCGCCGGTGAGCAACCCACCCATATCCAGACACTCCGCCTGCCAGGGGTACATGTACCCAATACCGCAACGGGAAAAGCCCATGACCACTTCCCTGCGCAGGCCCCACCTTGCATGTGCCAATGAGTGCTCATTTTGCATGTCTCGGTACGCTAAGGGCGTGCTCGGCGGTGGCATCAATGCCGAGGGTGTGGGCGTGGAGCTGAACCCAAAATATCGCTCCCGTTGGTGCTGGTCCTTGTCCTCATGGTCGGTGTTCGTGGTGGTTTCGTTCCCGCTCCAGTCTGGAGCAACTTTAATCTCTCCCCCCCCGACCCTGTCATTGCTCCACCGATTCCGCCGCTGGTGTTGCTCTCCATTGCCTGTTCGTGGCCTCTTTGGTGGGAGGGTACGGCTGTTGCTACGGCTGATAAGTTCTGGATTCGTACGCTTTGCGTGGTATGCCGTGCCCGAAGGCCGTTGGTGCTGGGGCGGCGACGGCGGCGGTGGCGGGCGAGGCGGAGGCGGGATATTCCCGTCTGGCAATTGCCGTTCCCGCAGGTTAGGATGTCTACCGTTAAGGTAATTCCCCGGATGTGTTGAGGGTCTGTTCTCCATGGAAGAGGATTCTCTCAGTCCAACTTCTTTTTTGCTTGCGCTCGGACGTATGGTTCATGATGTGACGTGGGTTGCCGCATCACGGATGGGGTGAAATTTTTGCCACGTGCGTCCGTGGGCTACTTGCCCCACCGTAGCCGCAGCACGCTAACTTCAGCATTCACTGATTGCTTTGCTGGGAACACGATACCGGTACCGGTGCTTCACCTGTTGTAAAGTATGGTACCGTACTGTACAATGGATTATTTTACTTGATTTTTATTTTCGGGAGCTTCAGCTAGATTTGAACCACAGCATCGACTCCTGGGTCCCATTTTACCCAGTCAGGTTACCCGGTTTAGACCTTCCGAAAGTCAAGACAGTTGTTCCAGGATCTGTTTGTCAAACCTTAATTACCGACGAGATAAATTCCAACCCTGAAAAATAGTCCCGTGAGGGGATATCATGGGGGTGCGGTATCATGATTCTGGACCGATAAGATTATTTTGGGTTTCCCTGTAAAGAACAGTGAGCCAACACAGGATACGGATATGCAGAGGATGGGAGTCGCTGTGCCACTGAGTGTCCATTTTCATCCGATCCCCGAAAGAGAGCATCCCGGGTAAGGGAACCCACACTCGGGACCCCGAATGATTGAGGCGACACCCCCGAGCACCTCAATCACACTGCATCATACGGTACAGCACCAATACCCGAGTGCAAACCAGTGCGTTCTCGCCGCTGCAGCATTCCAAGAAACTGGTAACTTGTGGCGATTATGCGCGTTATATAAAAGCAAATATCACAAGTAAACAAATAAATGCTATGGGAGGACACTCTATTGATCACGAAAACCAGAACCATGGAAAAATCGAAACCGACACCTCAAAAACAAAGGAAACCCCCATTTTAGTCCCCGCTATTTGCTTCATGTATAAGGAAGGATGAGACAACGGAAAACAAGAAGATTGTAAAACGAAGATATCCTAATTACACTAAAAGCTTTTGTTACTGAGTAGAATTGTTTTTCCCTGCCCGGCATCGTACAGCAGGTAAAGTTGTCATATCGCAAACCCCCTTCCCATCCCTGAAAAGAGGATTTGCATCATCATCCACCCGTATCCTTTCTATTTTTCGGACGTCTCGTTGCTTAACCAGACCCACCCTTGTAGGCCTTTCCGAACATGAGGAGTTGGACCTGATCATAGATGGACAACACACCAGCGCCGGCGACACCACGGAGGATGTTGGCACCGGCACCCTTGAAGAGGGAGCGAACACCCTCAGCCTTGACAATCTGGGAGAAGGCGTCGAAAGAGGACTTGTACTTGACGGCCTCACCAGAGGTCTGTGATTTTTGTGAGCAAAAATTAGAAATCACGGAATGAAGATATATTTGCCTACCATCATCATACGACGGCGAACTGTGTCAAGAGGGTAAGAGGCGATACCAGCACCAGTGGTGACTACCCATCCCAGAGCGAAAGAGGCCAGGAAGTTGCCCTCAAGTTTGCCGGTAAGGACGACCGGCTTGATAGAGTCGTACATACCGAAGTACAGACCACGGTAGACGACAATACCAAGGACGGAAGGACCGAAACCACGGTAAAGACCGGAGATACCATCAGAAGCCAGAGTCTTCTTGTAGACATCGATCAAACCATTGAACTGGCGCTCACCACCCTTCTTGGCAGATTTGGCGTCGTTGGCGAGACGGGTACGAGCGTAGTCAAGAGAGTAGACGAACAGGAGCGAGGTAGCACCGGCAGCACCACCAGAAGCCAAGTTACCAGCCATCCATTTGGCATAACCATCACGCTCCTTCTTGTAACCGAACATCTTCTTAAACTTATCACGAAAAGCAAAGTTCAATGCTTGCGTGGGGAAGTAACGGATAACGTTGGCGGTGTTACCACGCCATAGAGAAACAGTGCCTAATGAAGCGTTAGTAGGTGGGTGAAATACGAGCCCAAGGAGTAAATACCCTCATCAGCAATAGTACGCTTGAAGCAGTCTCCGATACCGCCGTATTTGCGGTCGAGACGTCCGGCCTTGATCATTTCATCCTGGAGTGGGGAAGGTGTGTGTTAGTGTACTATTCCAATTTTGGGATAATCGAGGAAAAAAATTAGTCTCGGATAACAAACTTGGTTCTGGATGAGGAGCTTGACACGCTCAATGGGGGCAGCAGCAGTTTTCGAGACGGCGGCAGAAACACCGCCCACTATTGGAAGAAAAAAGAGAATGTCAACCATCCGGATCCTTATGATGAAACCATCCCCCTCGGGAGCAGGAGGTGCCGGGCTTGATTCAATTGCGGAGAGGTAACATACTCAAGAAGTCAACGAGGAAAGTCTGTGGGTAAAGTCAGCAAAATTCTTCACTAAGGCGATAGCCCATCCATATCAGCAGCGACTGCAACGATGAGATCATGACAGTCAATAGTTTTCTTCATGCTAATATCTCAACACGGCATTGAAAAGCAAGCAAGCGATATTGAAATTGCTTTTGATAGTGCTACTGGGATGGAAGGAGACAAAAAGGGGTGAAAATTTGTTCGGCTTACTGATTGTTCCGGCATTTCGTGAGATTTTGTGAGGGGAGAATTTTTTCAAAAAGCAAAAGGCAAAAGGTAAAGAGTGGATCAACGACTCTTCGGTAGACTTGATGAGAGTGGGATGGGGACAGGATACGATGTCGAGAGGGATAGAAAGGAGGGAGGGTTGAGGAAAGCGATGGGGTTTTTGAACAAGGTCGGGAAGAAAAATTGTCTTGGCAAAGCTGGGAAATGGAAGAGGGAGGGCAAAAGAAAAAAAAAATCGCAAAAAAAAATACTGCCAGACGCCGCGCACAAATCTGGAACTCTCTTAGAGGTTTCCCAATAGGGATTAAGGACGAGGGGTTTCTCCCGTTCCGCCCCGATGTTGGTGGGGAATTATTATTTCTTCCCACAGCGGCATTTGACCCCTAAGCTACTTGTAACACAAGGATCCGAAGAAAGGAAGGCCATTCGCAGAAGAAAAAGGGAAAAAAGTCACAAAAGTCACGTTTTTCTCACTTTGGAGGGAAGAGTGAAAGTCCTGGGGGCTCTGCTTGGCTTGGTTGGGGTCCCGTTTCACAACTTTCTGCAAATGTCTCTCACGGACAAAAGGGATAGACACTGGATACTACCCGTAGCGCAAGATAATAGCTCTTTCTGCTACCGTGCTCGAGCAGTCGTATAAGTACTCGAGTACCGGTACAGGACCCGGCTCGGTATACCGGTACTATCATAGGTGTACGGTGCTCGAGTGGATAGCGAAAGCTCACTATCGCCCGGGCCAGGGGAGAGGAGTTCGGCGAAGATTGGCATGACAATCTGCAAAGTAAAGTATACCCGAGTACAATTGCTTGGAGCACTGTCAAAAGTGCCTCCAGCAGCGGTTGTATGGGGGGGGGTTGTGAGTCCAGGAAACCCTTGGCCCATGTCAACAAGATACATTACCAGAATGATACTGGAGATAGATCATTCTCACTGGGGAAAGAGACCACCCTCCCGAATCTAGAGAATTTACATGGCGAGAGAATCATTGTGGGTATAGATTGCAGTACTCGTGCCGTGCGGTTGGGGGAGCTCGAGTGGGCTTTATTTTATGCCTGGAGGGGCCTGGCGGTGTCGTGTGCCCTCCCCGGACCAGTACCAGTGGGTTGCGTCGGGCCTGGGGCGGCTACGGATCTTCTGAGATACTGGTACTGTACCGTACAGTACGGTGGTAAGCAGTGCGAGCCTGGGGCCGGCGGCATCAAAGACCGGTAGGATATGGAAGTCGAACCAGCTCAATGAACAGGCTGGCTTGACCTGTTTCTGTGAGTTCTATACATTCGGGTACTGTATCAGCGTTTTAACACTTCAAGAGTTTCCGTACGAGTGCTCACCAACTGGACTCGCCGACCAGCCCCACTACAGGTATCCTTAGACACTCCCATAGGTCGCTGGAGGTACCAGTACTTTGTCTACAGGTGAGAGTCCCAGATGCTTGAAGGCTGGTACACGAGTAATGATAGTAAGGGAAAGGACCATATTTTGTGAAATGAGGATAGTGTTAGGCAAAGTTATCTGATCAGATAAGCATGGACTGACTTACCGTTAGTACTATCATAGTACAGTACGAGTACGGTAATACTGTTAGAAATGGCAAAAAAAACCAAAAAACTTACATAAACCCTATTCGGCACATACCGTTTTTAGAAATGGCGTACTATTTAATGGAATTTGTTTTCCATCTCGCGGGGCTACCGGTATTGGCCTTTCCGCATTTATTGCTTAAGGGGCCATCCAAAGCGTACAATGCTCAAGCATGCGGTGGTCCTACGGTGTTCAGATGTTGGGCGAATACGGCGCCTTGCAGGAATAGGCTACTTTTTGTTGGAATTGGTGAATGGTGAAGAGTCCCATTTTACCAAAATAGTATCATGCTTGTGTCTCTTCGCCAATTCTTGGCATCACTTCTGTTCTGAAATAGTTAATAGAGACCCATAGACTAGGCAAGCAGGCGCCGATTCTTGGCTTGGAGACACGAATACCAGCGCGCTGGTAAGGGCTACTGGTAAGAGATCTATGGCAAAGGATAGTATATGATGGATGTTGAAGGGGGTCTTTTGGGAGAGAGCTTGACGGCATGTTGCATAACGTGATCCTGGATTGGGAGGTTCCAGCACTATTAGTGGGTCAGATAAGGTACGGCAATAGGGTAACTTTGCGGGAACTGTATCGTACTAGGGCCCTAGCACTCGCAAAACGAGGGTAACATCCCTCTCCTAACGAAACCATAGGGTACTGTACTGTACCGGTATTCTAACAACGCGTCCTCCCGCTGGTCACTGCCTCCACAACCCGGCGCCCGTGAAGAGATCTCGAATGCCCAAGCTGGCAATCCCTTGGAAGGATAAAAAGCCTAGCTTTTCCTGGCTCGATATTCATCCCCTCTATCCCTCGCCACCCCCTTCCACCTCCTCTACCTCTACCTCTACCTCTACTTCTACCTTCGTTCTCTGTCAGCTCGACCACCCCGCCCCCACCTCTACCTCAGCACTCGTAAGCGGCGGCTTTCATTTTTCCCTTGACCAAACTGGCAATTCTGACTACAGCAATGGCAAAACGTCTGCCCTTATCGGACGCACCACCTCCCAGCAACACCCAATGGGACACCGCGCGGTGCAAGCGCGTTATACGGCCGCTGTTAGTTAAACTCAAAGCTCTCAGGGAAGAGGTCAAACGGAGTGAGGCAAGGACTCAGAGATCGCGGCGAACCCTCTCTCCTGATAGCGGTGATAATTACGAAGGGAATAATAAATTCGGCGCGAAAAAGAAGACCAAAAAGCCAATGCGAACATACGGAACATCGAAAACGGCTCATAGCAGGACCGCCGCTCAGGCGTCGGGCGCGGGTGGTTCATCAGTAACGGTAGTCACAAAGTCAACCAAGAATATAGATTATGCTTCTTTTAGCTGCCATCGTCGCACCGATGATATTTTCCCCCTTCATTGGAGTGCTAGCGCAGATTGTATTGCTAAAGGGATGGTTCCTGCATCTCAGAATCTGTCAGCGAGAATTGTCAGACCAACCGCCTTCTCTGACGAAGCCAATACACGCATTCACCGACACCAAGAGGCTGTCTACTGGGCGTTAGACCAGTTCCTGTTCGTGACCTCGCCCGCGGCTAAAGGACCGGTTATTCCGACCTTAGCTTCTATGGCTTCTCGACAGGTGGCCTATTGTATTCTTGCTGTCGGAGATGACGGCATGGACTGGTACGACTACGTCAGGGGATATGGTAGGAGTGGGGAGTATCTTAGGGAGGTTGTACGATGGCATGGGATTGAGTTGTTGAAGGATGCGCTAGCGGACGGGGCTATGGACCCGGCAGACGGCGGACCAGGGGCGATAGGGGCATGCATAGGTCTGTGTAGAAAACATGGTGCTGAACGGGAAGCTGAGGCTCTACTTGAAACTTTGTTATTCCTCAATCCCGTGTTCCGCACATCGAAGGCCAATCCCGCCTTTGAGACAATTAGGTTCTACTTTTCGATAGGCCCTGATGGTTTTGTGCCGCCTAGTTCTGTGTACAGAATCCTCAAAGAATTCACCCCCCTCGTCTACAAGAATCCTAGCTGGATGTGCAGCAGGGAGATTCAAGCTGTTTTGATTATGGCAACAAAGGATATTGAAATTGTCCCTAGAGCAGACGAGATGGTTATAAGGTTGCTTGAGTCAGCCTTCGGACTCCAAGGAAGCTACAAAACTGGCGAGGAGAGCCCACATGAGAAACTAGGCACAAGGCGTGTGCCGAAAGTTGGACGACAGAAGGGAGAGGAGGCAATTGCAGGTGTGATTCAGTCTCTCATTTGGGCAACTTTCCAACGGGTGGAGTCCAACGCGCGAGGCGCATTGGTCCATCTTGTCAAAGGATATCTCTCCCAAGATCAGGCATCGAAGGTGCTGGCCCAGAATGTGTGGGGAGAGGAATGGCCGGGATTAGTCACATCTAAAATCATGGCGATGGCTCATGTTCAGCAATGGTCGTGTGACGGGTCCAGTTGTACTAATTCTTGTCTCGAGACCGGGTGCTTTAAAGAGCTCCTTCGTGAGTGTAGAGATGAAATTGCCTTGTGCCTGGAATTGTTGACAAACGCACTCCATGGCGATGATGGCTTTTTGCTGGTCGCGGAGTATGTACGCGAATGTTATACCCCAGACTCGCCCTCGACGACCAAGGAGGAGCACGCAAAGGAACTTGCCAGGATCAATTCCCTTACCGGGCGTCTTCTTGCCTCTATCAGTGAGGCCTCCTCGTCGGAATACGCATCAAGGAACGTTCCAAAAACTCCTAAAGCCTCCGCACCGAAGGTAATCATTTTTACTCCGGGAAAGCTGTTGACCCCGGAGGATAAGAAATGGGAAAAGCGAAGATACCTGATTGGTCAATTGGTACTGAGGATTGCGACTCAATACCAAGAGTCTGCTGTTTCGTTTAAACATGAATGGGTGAAATGGGCAACTGATATTGAGAAGAAGGTTCTCGCGCTCAAGATCGGGACCCCACTTGAAACTACGGTTCTCAAAGAGGATCTCCGAGTTCAAGACGCCTCTCCGAAGCAGAAGCTAAGGAAAGGGTGGCGTTACGAAGAGGGATTAGGGGAGTGGGTGTCTACTGGCCAGACACCTGGCCGAAAGAATAGAACTCCCAGACGAGCTGGCTTTGAAGTGGTGGTCTTTAACCATAAGGAAGGGATTTGGAGGCAGGAGTATTTGAAGCTCCCTTCCGGCCGCAGTGCCGAACTTGTCCTCAGCGATAGCGAGGATGGCTCCTATGGTGTATTCCCGGACAGTGAGGACGGTGAATTAGATTCAGAATCGGAGGGGGAGCAGGGGTCACTGTACCAAGGCTCAGACTCCGAAAGCACAACCAGAAGAATCTTGCCCCCGAGGTCCGTTGATAAGACACAGGCTATTAGAGATAGTCTAAGGAGGTTTCCAATGAGAAGCCAATTATTTATCGCGTCCACCCCTGCGGTTGACAGGTCGGCTGAGCTTAGCTCGCCTATTGCCAAGGAGAATCTCTTGTTGAGATTTATTGGCTCTGGCGAGATTCCCACTAGCGACCCTGTCAGGGCATCGGATGAGGATGAGGATGAGGATGAGGATGAGGATGAGGACAGCGAGGATGATGAAGACAACGAGGACGACAAGGCGACAGATAGGGGAGATCGGGGGGACGCAAAGGGGCGAACTATAATCCCAGACTCCTCCCCCATTGTCAGCAGGTTGACTCGGTACAATCAATTACCATTCATCGCTGGGCATCAAGAATCCATCACTGTTCCTCCCACCTCCTCTCCTGCCCAATTGTCAGCCTATGCATCTCCTTCCCCAGCTCTCTCCTCTCGTCCTCCGTCTTCCCCTCCCCGTCGCACCAAACCCACACATGGCGATGACGACGATATGGACATAGCCTCTGACTCGGACATCGATTCCGACTCCAACTATGAACCCACTGTCACCCCCGCTGCCCCTTCCACTGCCCGTGGGACCAGAAACTCGCTGGAAGACGAACTCTCCGCGTCCGACGCTGCCTTCCCTTGCCACCGTGATCGCCCCTCCTCGTCTACACCAATACTTAAAACTATGGTTAGCGCCTCCTCCATCACCCCTCGATCTACTTCATCTCCCAATCCACCGTTGTCCGCCTCCTCGAAGCGCAAGATTGAGCGCTCCACCAGACGTCGGGCAATGGGTAGGAAGCGTGCGATGCTCCGGAAGAGGTCTGTTGCGGAAATTGCACGTCACAAACAAGACGAGATGAGTGCCGACGAGCTGGCATGAGAACAAGCATACGGGTCTCACTTCTCCCTCGTTTTTTTATGATAATCTATTCATTAAGCTTTCTTTTATAGTTTCTTTTTTATCACTCTTTTTCTCTAACGAGGGTACCCTTTTTTTTTTCACTTCAGGGGTTTTATCGTAGATAGAAAGTGTTTTTTTTTTCTTTCAGATTTAATTAGTTTGGGCTTTTTCCTTCTGGGTTCCAATTCCCGCATATGTTTCCGTACACTTGATTTGACTTCATACCTTGGCTGAGTGTTTGGTCAGATGGGTGGGTGGTCAGACTTTTTCTTGTTTTAATTCATGTATAAAGTTTTTTTTTTCTTTCACCCTTTCTGTTTCTTGTGAAATACTTGATTGCTGAGTTTTGTGTGCGCGGATTAGTATGTGCATATGTGTCTGAGGTACGGGACCCTTTTGGGGTATACTTGGCTGGTTGGGACCGGTATAATTGCGTGTTTGCTCCATCCTTGGTACTGTGCTGTGCTCGCATTTTAATGGGTTGTGCATTGGACGGGGGCTTCAAGGGGTGTGTAGTAAATACACAGACGCTATTAAATAATGCCAGTGGTACCATACAAATGGCTGGGGTTCTTGAGCAGACCGCTTTATAACAGGATCTGAATCCATCAAATGTTGACATCTCGTGCGAGTGATCTTGACAAATAGCTATTAACTTGTAGGTTCGCCGCGAATCGGAGCATATAGGCAACAACGGTACAACTTATGAGTATGGGCGGTGTGATAGAAATGGCTCGTAGGTCTTTCTGAGAGGAATAAAGAGGATTCCTGAATACATGAAAGATCTCTTATAGATGCTGTACTGCGACGTAACTTATAGCCATCAGCTCTCTGGCGCGAATTGTGATGGGCTGCATGATACGACAACATCTAACAAGAAGCTAACGGATCTCAACGAGTGATGCGGTGTGACATGTTTGTGTTTTTGGCGTGTTCATCAAATAAGTTAAGTCCGGATCCCGTGACAACCCCACTGTGATAATATCATACGAAACTTCCGTACCGTAGCCTGCCCCTCCAAAAACCCGCACCGATTACAAATAAAACCCGACCGCGACCACCACAACCAACCAGTCTACAAGAGGGAGAAAAACAAATGACGTCCGAATCCCTAAAAACCCCCCTTCCCCCTTTCAAGCAGACATTCCTGCAGACCCTCCTGCAATCCAAGATCCTAACCTTCGGCACCTTCACACTGAAATCCGGGCGGGAGTCGCCCTACTTCTTCAATGCGGGCCTCTTCAACACCGGCAGCCTCCTCACCTCGCTGGGTGCGGCGTATGCAAACACAATACACACAAGCACCAGTCTCCCGCCCTTCGATGTGGTTTTTGGACCGGCGTACAAGGGTATCCCGCTGGCTACCATTGCGCTAGCGAAGCTGTACGAGTTGGCGCCGGAGAGGTATGCCGAGGTTGGGTACGCCTTTGATAGGAAGGAGGTTAAGGATCATGGGGAAGGGGGTCGTATGGTTGGCATGGGGTTGAAGGGGAAGAGGGTGCTCGTTGTTGATGATGTTATTACTGCTGGGACGGCAATTCGGGGCGCGGTTTCGGCGATTGAGGAGGCTGGGGGCACAGTGGTTGGGATTGTGGTTGCTTTAGATAGGATGGAGAGGATTGGAGGGGCAAGTGCCGAGGAGAGAAAGGGGAGCGCGATTATGGAAGTTAGGAAGGAGATGGGGGTGGAGGTTTTGGCCATTTTAAACTTGGACGAACTGATTGTGGGGGTTACGGATGGAGGGGAGAGGGGAAGGATGCTGGAGTATAGGGAGAAATATGGGGCTGTTGAGGAGTAGATGGGCTTGCTAGTTTTAATCGGTTTACAGGGAGAGGACTGATGGAAAGTTTTGACTACAGGATACTTTGCACAAAAATACCTTTTCAGAAGAAAGAAGATCCTTCTCAATGCAAAATAGATATCTATTCTTTTCGATAACGGAGACCGAGCGTGAACAAGGGGGGTTTTTTTCGGGGGCGGGGTCAATATGGTACTATGACAGTGCACACTTTGTTAGACAGTTCTCCGGTCGGTCATGACTCTCACGATTGCTCCTGTTCCCGCAATCTCAACAACCTAACCCAATTCACACAGTCAGCCAGTTTCCTCTCATCCTAAAAACTAGTAGCGACGTTGATAATACCTTCTCGTGCCAACTGAGTAGCACACTCATACCACCACCATCACCCCTGCCTGGTGCAACGCCGTACTCCCTCGCTCCACTAACTGATGAAACACCCGTAGCATGGGACGATACTCCGGGGGTAGAAGAGCTAGAGGTGGAGTTGTTATGACGGGCCATTCCTTTGTAAAGATATCTTGTTGTAGCCACCATTAGTTCTTATGCTCTTTCGCTGGCTGCTGGGGCATATGGACACTTACTTAGTAAGGACATCCAACAATTCTGTCCCACTAGGTGAAGCATAAAGTCTCCCGAGCAGCGGCGACATCTCTACCGCCTTAATTGAGGACAAAATCTCTAGGACGGTCCCCAAGTGAAGCTCCTATCCACCAGCCCCAGACCACATTAGCTCCTTATCCCTATCCCCAGTCTCGTCACCGCACCCCACAGTTTAAGAGTACCAAATACCTTCCCCTGCTCATCACCCCCATACGGCACATTCTCCAGTGCTGTCACCAACGCCGTCTCTTGGTCTCCACGTTGCAGGAGCTGACGGCAATGAGTGGCAAGCGATTGAATCTGGGGTGTTGGGATCGGATCGCACGGGGGTGTCAATAGCTCCGCCGGAAAGGCGGATTCGGGGTCTAGTGCATCCACGTCGATTAGGCGGTAGTTTGTCGTGGCCATGGTAGTGTTTTCTCGATAAGCTGTTTTTTTTCCTTCGCCGTGCGGTGGTCTCTGGGCGGGCAGGTGTTGAGGTTGCTTGTCGTTGGCTAGGTGTGAGAATGTGGGGTGTGTCGTGAGTGCTACAACCTGGTTATAGGGATACACTTTGTGTGCCCTGGTTGTAACCTGCGTTCGAGGGAAATTTATGGAAGTGACTGATGATGTGAGGTTTCAGTAGTGAATGTATATAGATTGACATGGAGAGGTGATTTAAAGCATTGAGGGGGATATTTTTGCATTTGCGGGTAGGAGGCGGGGAACAGGCACCCCCGGTTAGAGCCGCATTTTGAGCCTCATGCGCTTCATATATTGGGTTTCCCACCCGGAGTGAGAGCTCACCAGGTCATTCACTTTTACATATCCGATTCTGAGCTGGAGGTTTTCCGGTTAATATTTTTTTTTCTTTTTTCTTAAGTTACTTGTGAATCATTGTAGGAAACCCTTTCTCCCTCTTCTATTGTCTTCGGTAATGATAACAAAGCTTCACGGAAGATCACTCTCAAGCTCCATGTCGGTCGCGAGGACAACGGCTAAGGTCCGGATGTTCCTTGTATCGGACACGCATAGCATGGTGCCATTACCAGCGTCAAGGGTGTTTCGAATACCACTGCCAAAATGTGATGTGCTCATACATGCTGGGGACATGACCAACACCGGCGAGATATTCGGGTTCGAGAGGACCTTGGATTGGATCAAGGAAGCCGACGCAGAGCTCAAGATAATCATAGCAGGTAGTGCCCACCCGCACAATCAAAGCGCTTACGGTAGGAAACTAACAATCTCCCAAAGGAAACCACGACCTCACTCTGGACTCAGAATGGTACCGCCACTACGGCCAATACTTCCACACAACTCCCCAGAACCCGAGCCAACTCTTCGCCTCTCTGCCATCAAATATCCACTACTTAAACGAAGAATCCCGCACCTTTTCCCTCTCCTCCGGTGCGACCTTCAGAGTCTACGGCTCACCCTGGACACCCGAATTCGGGTTCTGGGCCTTCAATTACCCGCACAACATTGACCGCTGGAACCCAGACCCCGCCGGGCAGCGGAACAAAACCGCTATGGATACTGACCCCATCCCCGAGAACACGGATATCTTAATCACACATGGCCCCCCACAGGGTTTCCACGACGAGGTATTTCCTAGTGGCGAAAATGTTGGGTGTCCACATTTGAGGAGGGCAATCGAGAGGATACGGCCGAGGTTGCATGTCTTTGGACATATTCATGAGAGACATGGTGTCACGAGGGTCACGTGGAAGGAGGCGGGAGGCGGGGAGGAGAAGAGGGAGACGGTGGCTGTGCTTGGTGCTGGGGATATGGCAGCGCTGGCGAGGAGTTCTGGCGCATGCCCGGCTTTGGAGGTGGATGTTTCGAAATCCGGGCAGGCGCTAACGGAGAATGAGACGTTGGTGGTTAATGCCAGTGTCTTGGGGGTGACAAGGGAGGCGATACATGCCGGGGTTTTGGTTGATATGGAGTTTCCGGTTATGTAGGGTGGGGAAGGTCCGCTTTATCATAGGCTTAGATAATGTTAGAGTTGTTATTTGGCCGATAGGGTTGAGGGGGGGGGCTCGGTATTTAGGGAATAGAATTGTGAGCTCATTTATCGATTTTTAGGAATTTTGGAAAAAAAATCCAAAAAAATACCGAAAGAGCCTTTCATATTAAAACTGGAAACCCCTCCTTTTCCGGCCTATCTGTGCACAGCATAGTCGACCAGATGCGATACGTGCGGGCCAAAACATAGAGGCAGTCATGCGTAATCACTCGACAAGATCACAACTCTTGAACTACTCCACCTCATTTCTTGCTCAATCAACCCAATGCGAGCATCCCAGGGAACTCACCAACAAACCCCGGGAGGAGAAGAGGAAGCCGTAAAAAGTATCCACAGACAAGAGTCCCCATACCGCTCACAACTCGCCCTTCTGCTGAAAGAAAAGGAGAGAAAAGAGAAGAAAAGAAGAACCAAGTCCCAAGAATATCATACCAATACATACCATCGCAACGGGATTTTCCCAAAACCCCCCCTCAATTCCGTGAGATATATCGTATCATACCTTGCGAGCACCCCATCCATGGCTGAGCGGCGGCGAAGTAAGATGCCGTTCACGGGAGTGGGGTTAGTAGATACCACTTGATGGCATTGTTATAGGTTCCTTGGTATATATATAGAAATCTAACCGAAAAGTCAATATTGGTATCCCGTTTTTGTTTCCCGGAAAGGGGTTGTTGGATGGGGGGGGGGGGGTTCTACCGGATTTACATTACAAAAGTCCGTGTAAACGCCCAATAAAGAGCCACTGTAAAAGGGTGCTGTAGAGGTGAAATGGAAATAAAAATAAAAATGTAGGACTAAGTTAGCACAAATTACCAAGGTATGATACGATACCCTGCGACTTGCCGCCAGTTGACAGGTCGACGATTCCCTTAACCTTCTCGGAGCAGCACAAAGACTCTAGCAAGGGAACGACAATCCCGATATCGACGCGAATCCCGAAAAAAATGAATGGAGAGAGAGAGAACCTCAGTATAGCGCAAAAGGGAAGGGGTCTATAGTGGATATTGGTGTAAATGCAGACCCGGGGCGCGAGCATTCCTCACTCGGGAGTCATATGGAATCGTGTGGCCCTGTCTATGATATCAATCCTTAAGAGTATGGTTATTTCACCATGTCGCATCCATAATACAGTACTTCACAACCCATTATTCGATCCACTACTCACCGCCCATAAGAACCCTACCACCGCGTGCAGCATAGAAAACAGGAGATAGCACCACAAACCACATCACCGCCGTCCAGCCGGAAATGCACCGCACCACCACGAAATCTAATAATTCAGTACTATATTACGGTATGATATCATACCCCACCCCCAAATTATTTATACCACGCCATGCCATCCCGTACCGCACCCGTGCACTAACTTCCCATTTGCTACACTACCGAATGTTAAAACACCCATCGAGTGACACATCATGAGGCCTATCACTGCTTCCTTCCCAATGCGTGGTTGGTTGGGGCCAAACTAAATCAAGTCCCCCCCGCCGGCGTAGCCGATAGAGATGCAATAGCAAAGTACGCAACGTAAGGCTAGTGGGGGGGGGGGGGGGGCAAGGAATGCACACACTTTATTAATTGTCGATTAACCGATCTCCCGCCGCATAGCCGTCCCGTCAGCTGTTCGCCGAACAATCGCTGGCTGGGTTGCTGGAATGAATGCGGGTATCGAGCTATGGTCAGTATCACGATTGCATGCATAACCCACCGGAGTACCGTACTCGTAAAAAGCTAACCCCACGTACAGTGCACTCGCTTGCTCAACCAGAGGTGAAGGTAGCCAGGATCTAAATTACAGTTTCTTTTTTCTACCTCCCCTGCTTCCCCGCTACCCCACGGCCATGGCACCAAAAAATGTGCCCGCACGAATATGAAATTCAGAATTTCCGTCTTTTATTTTCAATTTCAACATCTATGTGATGTCGCCCCCCACGTTTGCTCATTCAGAATCATCACAACAGACATGACAAACCACAACAAGTTAAGTACCATAAAGGGTTTCACAAGAATCAAAGAATTTCCCGCCGTGAAAAGAAATACCAACTTCGGGAAAAGGAACAAGAACAGAAGAGACGGGTTCAATTGTTTGGTCATTAATTTATGCAAGGTAAGTCGAGGCACTGACGTTTCCTCCCCTCCCAGTCCAGTTGATGTGAATATCCTTCCCTTCAGGGAGAGTCTCGCTCTGGCATTCAGGCTTGACGCGGAAAGTGTGGGCACCTGTGGCTTCATGTTAGAATGCTTCAATGAGATACCAATTCACACTTGCACCCACCGAAGTAATCTCTTTGTGCCTGTAAGAGGTTGGCAGGAAGATCCCTAGTCCTATATCCGTCATAAAAGCTCAAAGCGGTAGAGAAGCAAGGAGTGGGGATTCCAAATTGGATTCCCTGGGTGATGGCTCTCCTCCAACCGGGCTGAGCTTGGTGAATAGCTGCCTTGAAAAAGTCATCAAAGAGTAGGTTCTCGAGATCTGGCTTAGCACGATACGCCTTGGTAATATCCGCAAGGAAGACAGAGCGGATAATACATCCACCACGCCACATAAGAGCGATAGCGGGGTTGTTCAATTTCCAGTTGTACTCTTTAGCGGCCTGTAGTTTACTAATCAGTATTGGGGCCCTCTCGTGGGGGTAGCGGGGTAGCAAAAGCACCTCACGAATGAGCATAAAGCCCTGGGCGTAAGAAATAATCTTGCTAGCGTAGAGTGCCTATATTATCCAATCATTAGCTCGAGTGGTCCCTCACCCACGGTTCTGAACAAGGCCGAATTCCAAAGAAGTATCTAACCTGCTCGAGATCGGCAATGGCTGCCTCCTTGTCACCGGTGAAAGCTGGGATCTCGGGGCCCTCGAGGAGCTGGGCGGCACGGCCTCTCTCCCCCTTGATGGAAGAGAGGCATCTGGCGAAGACGGATTCACCAATCAAGGTGACGGGCATGCCCAAGTCGAGAGCGTTGATAGCAGTCCATTTCCCGGTCCCCTTCTGTCCGGCACTGTCGAGAATCTTCTCCACGAGGGGAGTTCCATCGACCGGGTCATTGTACTTCATGATGTCGCGAGTGATCTCGATGAGGAATGAATCGAGGACACCAGTGTTCCACTTGGTGAAAACATCGCCAATCTCAGAGTTTGTCATTCCGAGACCACGCTTCATGATGTCGTAGGCCTAGAGCAAACCTGTTAGTGCCGATTCTAGAATTCATTCTAGTCACAACACAAATCTACCTCGCAGATCAACTGCATGTCACCATACTCGATACCGTTGTGAACCATCTTAACAAAGTGGCCAGCTCCCTCATCGCCAACCCAGTCGCAGCATGGCTCGCCATCGGACTTGGCGGAAATGCTTTGGAAGATATCCTTAATGTATGGCCATGCCTCCTCGTTACCACCGGGCATGATGGATGGGCCATACCGGGCTCCCTCCTCACCACCGGAGACACCAGCACCTACGAAACGGATCTGCTTCTCGGAGAGATACTTGGTGCGGCGGTTGCTGTCGGGGAAGTGAGAGTTACCACCGTCAATGATAATATCGCCGGGTGATAGGAAGGGCAGGAGAGAAGCAATGAAGTCGTCAACAGCAGGGCCAGCCTTAACGAGCAACATTATCCTACGAGGACTCTTCAACTTATCGCAGAAGTCCTGAATGGAGTGAGCACCAACGATGGATTTTCCTACAGAATTTTAGCGACCGAACAACCCGAGAGAGGGCAGAACCCTACCCTTGGCCTCATTCTCCAAGAAGTGGTCGACCTTCGATACGGTTCTATTGAAAGCAGCAACAGTAAAGCCTAATAGCCAAGTCAGGAGACAGATAATGGCGGAGGGGTTGGTGCAATAAATACCATTGTCCGCAATGTTGAGGATCAAGTTCTACGTGTAAACGGGGCAATTGGTATCACGACTATTTCAGTCTCTGGAACAAGAAGCTAAACATACCTGACCCATAACAGCAAGACCAATAAGGCCAAAATCTAGAGATGAGATCAGCACCGGTTCCAATTCTTGAAGCCACCATCCTGGCCGTCCAGGATGGCTACGATAACGCCTCTACCCTGAATAAGGGGGGCTACGGCACTTGGAACAACCCGGAGTGGGGTGGCACGCAAGGCTGAGGCAAATACTGACCGCAACTGGGTGTCGAAGATGCGAAGCCGCCAGCAATAGCGGACAGTCGCTCACTGGATTAGCAAACATTCAAACATCAACTAGAAATCCAAACAACCACAACCATATTTTATCAGGAGCATGAGTGAGGGGTTTGCCACCACGAGGGGCAATGACATAATGGCCAAATTATTGGACCGCCAAAGTGTGGAAACGGACGAAGAGGTTAAACTCACATTGCTTTAGTCTCAGACATGACACCTGCTTGTATGCTTTAATGGGGATTGAATCAAGAGATGAGAGGCGATGAGGTGGTATGTAGAAGGAAAGAGAGGGGATGAGGAGTGGCAGGAAAGGTGAAAGGTGATTGAGAGAGGAGGGAGGGGGCTGACGATGATGGTGGTGGTGGGGTTTATTTTATGGCCCTAGGATGCTGAACAGGGCGGATAAACGAGTTTCAGCGTCATACCGCAATTGCTTCGGGCTCTCCCTTGGGGGGGGGGGGGACAAGAATTGAAAGCTACGAGGACCACCTGGGTTACCACCCCTCTCCTCTCCTCTCCTCTCCTCACGAAACCGACTTTTCTTTTTTGTTCACCTTTTCGCCTTATTACAAAGTTTAGGGATGAATATTACACATTATTATGCTAGGTACATCCGGATTAGTACGCGGAAAAAGGGCTGATAGGGTACCTCTTCCCTGTTTGCCGGGGATTTTGCTATCTATTGCTGTGGCAGGTGGAAGTGGGGATGAGGTTTTTTGTTTGCTGCTCTGCAGTTACGAGTAAATCTGCCCCGCCATTCCAAACGACCGGTGGGTTGATGCCAAGACAAGTTCCATCCCCCCACCCCCACCTTGCCCATCGTTGCAAGGGCAGACTGGAAGGAGGACTAGAAGGAGAAAAAATAAAAATAAGGAAGATCCCATCACCAGAGCGATGTATGATACCAAGGCGGTGCACAAAGACTCTTTTGAAGAGAAATAAGTCGGAAAAGGGATACCGGCATGTTCATGCGGAACTAAACAAGAATTCAATTGAGAGAAGCCCTAAATCCTCAAAAATTATTGGCGTGAGGTTGAATGGCCGGCTGTAAATTTACTGGGGGGAGCACTTTGTACTTGGGTCCGACAGTCAGCGAGTTGCGTGCAAAAGATCCGCGCCTCCGTTTCCACCCCACGAGACAAGCAACGAACTTGCGCCAGACATCTTTCCCACACCTTTCCTCCCAGATAACCTCTCTCTCTCAACAACCACTACTGCTGTCATGGCGGCAGCTATATCAGCCCTCAACGCGAAGATTCGCAGTAACCCTGCGCTTAGCTACTTCTGCTCTACCCGTACGCTGTCTCTCCCTCGATAACCCTTCGGCATCCTGCCGGATGCTGATGCTAATGTTTGCCACCGATTAGACTTTTGGGGTCCGGTTTCAAACTTTGGGATCCCGGTCGCTGCTGTTCTAGATATCACTCGCAAAGACCCTGAAATGTGAGATGCGTTCCCGCTAGCATGAGGCTTTTGGGGTTACTGACGGCATTTAGTATCTCGGGAAAGATGACCACCGCTTTAGTCGTCTACTCAGCTGTCTTTATGCGTTACTCGTCCGATCCCCTGTTGCCCGCTTCCCCCGGTGTGTAATTTACTGATATGCTTGCTTGTAGTATGGCTGTCACGCCAAAGAATTATCTCCTCTTCGGCAAGAGCCCTTGATTGATGTTGGGGAATTCACGCTGATTATCGTAGGTTGCCATTTCGTCAACGAGTGTGCTCAATTGGCCCAGGGATACCGTTATATCAATTACTGGAAGTTCGTTTTTCACGCCCTCTTGTTGCCGAAACTTCTGCTAACATCAACAGCTACGGTGGCCGCGAGAAATCACTTGCGGAAAAGGCTAAAGAGGTATCTGCATTCACCGCTGCTCCCGTGGCTCCCGAGATTGCCAAGAAATAACGGGCTATTCCTTCTCGGGAGAGTGGCGGGGTTGAGGTCCAGACATCGCCTGTCAAGTTATTCTGTGTTGCGAGGGCTACAAAAAAAGGGGCCACATCTTTCTCCATTTTTTCCTTTGGGGGGAACTTATCGGAAATATGACGTAGGCCAGGAGTTACTGCTACTGGGTTATTTTCGTCTTGCCTGTACTCTTTGATGTCTCTAGATTGTATAGAAATACCTTTTTAGACGTGTACTGTACAGCCGGGGAATTCGATGGGAGCAGTCCAGCTTCACATTCTGAGTACGACAAGGGTGGTGATCCAATGCAAGAGGAAAGCCAAACGGCTCATTTACAATTAGAAACTCGAGTATAACCAAAAATTAGCCCCATCCACCCATTTCACCCACCTGTCAACTGCCCGCCTTCAACTGGTCATCATTGCACGACGACTCATATCCCATCCCAACTAACCTCTCCTCTCCATAGAGGCAAACCTCCTCCCAATATTACCAAAGCAAACACAGCTGCAAAACAGAACGCTTGCAATCCAAACCGTAACGCCAAAGCTCTCCACAGAGACTGATCCCGCAATCTTGCTCTCGTCCGGGAAAGAGATGGTTTCCGGGGCCTGGATCATCTCCGGATTGGTTTGCAAAAGGAAAGCTGTCCCAGCAACTCCGACGGCCGCAGAAAGCCAGAAGCCGACGCGGGTGCGGTCAATGAGATACCATAGGAACGGGTTCACGAGCGACAGCGACACGCTAACCTGCAGGGTTGATTGCCAAGGGAGCTTTCTCTATAAAACTATCAGCACGGATTTGGCAAAAAGAGAAACGAGGGACAGAAGGGCGGAGTAATACAATAGCATAAGCAATACCGACAAAAGCACCGATACTCCTGACCGCAGGATCCCAATCGATTTTTGCCCCAGTGCGCCCATCACCCATATCTTCTCCATCCAACCATGGCAACAACGAACCCAACACCACACCCGCCAATCCCCACTGAACAAGATACCTCGGATTGTACCGGTCAATATCTACCGTAGCTGGTGAGAATTTCTTGGAATTATGCAAATCGGTAACAACAGCGCCGTATGCAACGCCGAAGGCGAATAGGGCGACACCCCTCATGGCAACCATATACCATGGCACTGGCTCTTTCCGAGTATGCCCCACGGGCACATGGGACAGGGTTCCTTTATTAAGGGCGAAGTCGGCCATATCAATGACAGATGAGTTGTGAGATAGGAGAGGAGTGGAGGGCTCAGCGTCCTTGCTGGCATCGTCGGAGAGGGAGTAGATTCCGAAGAGTGTCGACGAGGTTAAGGCGATTGCAGATTTGGTGCGCTTTGGGGGTCTAGACTCTGCCGGAGAGAGGCCGTCCGCCGGTGATGCAAGATTATCCGAGGAAGGTAGGAGGGGCGATGGAGTAGCATTGGGAGAGGGGGAAGGGGAGACCATCTCGATCGTTTGGGGGCGGCGGGGAATTGGACGTGGGAGAGGGAGGCCCGAAGAGGTCGACATTATTCGTTTGAATGGAGAGAGGATAAGTTAAAGCTTCGCTGAAATAAAGCCCTGTATTCAGATGTTCTGGGTGCACCGCTCGGGAATCGGTTTGTCGAGCGTGATTTGTTGAGGAGCGGAAGGAGTCGACGGGGGTGTGAGCGAAAGTGAACGTGAACGTGGAGAAAGCCGCGGAAGAAGCTACAGAGCAGATGTCAGATGCAGGTCTCCCTCTCCTGCGCATTGAATGCCTACGGCACCTCCTGGCTGAGCGATAGACGTGGGCAATTACTGTATCATAGGATGGAAATGGGGATGGAAATGCCGGTATGTTCGGAATGGCACCCTTTGTCCGCCAATCCGAAAAATTAAGGAGAAGCTCAACGAAGCCTGAAGAGTTAATCCCAACAGTGCTGCCCGCCCCGGCTCCCCTACGTATTTTCCATACCACCGATTTTTCTTCTTCCAAGGCGGTGGGAGCGAGCCTTGGAGAGGTATGATACTGTGCTGTGCGCTCATACGCTGCCGTAGGTATTGGTTCGTCGACGGGCTGCCCGTTTTTCATCCCAACTCTTACTCGGCTTCCTGAAGATCCTGCAGCCAACCGTTGGTACCGGAGCCGGTCCGGATCGTTATCATCTACTCGAGTACATGTACAATGTACAGCGGTTATTTCAAACTCATACCCAGCCAACAATGCCAAGTACTCGTCGTTCTTGTTTATGCGGAGAATGATTCCCCACTCCCAAGAAATGTTCCTTACCTGCTCAGTGGCGGCACCGTAGTTGTCTGGATGCCAATCCCCCTATCGTAAGGGGACCCTGTCTCCCCTTTCCAAGCACCGGGTGGGGACCGTCAGTCGTCCCTTGCAGTCGGTAGGTAATAACGGCAGGATCTTCCAAAAATGAAATCGTATGAGCAGAGAGGGGTTCCCAAAGTACGGGTATGGTTGGGCGGGGAGCCTCGAAAACATGTATTTATATTCATGAAAAGTTATGCCGACTCACGGCATCGGATGCCCATTTATACCGTAACCTCTACAGCCATGGTTTCTTTTTTCCCTACAAATTGACAGACGTGATCAACGAGCCAACATCGAATCCAACTCATGCGACCCTGCGAACAAGCACCCAGCCGCCCGGTCGGTAGTTGCCGCAAAGCCAACGAACATACCGTAGCGATTCTTCCCCCGCCCTCTGAACCGTACCGGTATGCTGGACCCCTGGATAAACACCACTAGACCCTCACCTTCCCCGCCGAACAGCAACACATCTATCCTCAGTCCAGATGAGTTCATCCCAGTCAGAGCCGCATCCGTCCGACGCAGAACTAGCCGAAGCAGCAGCGTTCCGAGTCTTTGACAAGGATGGAACCTCCCGCGCCTTTTCGAGTTTGTATGAGGGCGAGGGGACGACAATGATTGTGTTCATCAGAAACTTTTTCTGCGGGAATTGCCAAGAGTTGATATCCCGTTGACCTCCTTTTGTCCCGAGTTATCTACAGTATTGGTGACCTGGGAATAGGTATCTTCGAGCTCTATCAAATCCGCCTATGATCCCCCCCGATGCTCCTGGGAAGAGATTGCTTATCGTTGGGCATGGGGATCCTGCTGTGATCAGCACTTACACCGCGGAAACCGGGTGCGTGTTCCCCATTTATACGGAGCCTACCAGAAGACTATACACTCTCTTTGGCATGGTAAGGAATTTGAAGCCAGGAGAGAAACCGGAGTATATTCAGCAGAGCACGATTAGCGCTATAGCCACCAGCTTTGTCTCGGCTCTCAAGTGGGGGGGCAGGAAGGGCGGAGATTACCAACAGGTATGATATGGCGTACCACTTTGTTGAAGAGCGGTATATTCTGATTTGAGCCGCTGTTCAGAACGGCGGAGAATGGATGTGGGAGAACGGGAAGCTGGTTTGGTGCCATAGGATGAAGAATACCAGAGATCATTTGGAAGTAAAGGATTTGAAGCAGGTCTTGGGGTTGTGAAGGTCTATGTTTGATATCAATAGATAGCCTACGATAATGAGCAATGTGTTGACGATCCGGTAGTGAGACAAGGAAACAGGCGAGTAATGGCCTGGCCGTTTACCTCAAGTGGCATTTGCTGTACCGGTGTTGAGTCTCCACTTCTGCTCGGATTCCTAGCTGTATCCCCAAAGGATATATCGTCGTGATTCGCCGAGCCATTTTCCAGAGCACAGCCAGCTCAATTGCTATTTCTCTCACCAGAATCATCCCGCTCCTACCATAATTTGCTAGAGTGAGTTCATTGATTCCGGCCCCTTCCCAGTTTACCACATGATGTTGTGGAACCTTTGCTGCGAGGACCTGAACCCTGAAATCCAATGAGGGGGTCGCAAAGACAGTATCATATCGAGAGCGGCAACCTCCGATCCCTATCATGACACGATGGTATGATGGCTCCCATATTAATTCAGATTCCGAGGTTTTAGTGTCCAGCCTCTCCCATGAAGTCTCTACTAGACTCAACCGGAGCCCGGATCCCACCCAAGATCAGAGGAGCTCTTCCTCCTTCATTTGCCTTTGCTCACCGTTGAAGCCTAGGCTATCGCGTGTTCAGGTCCTTGGATCGGGCAATGCCTAAGCGAGGAGCAGAAAATGAGGTATCGTGGGACAGGAACAGTACAAGTATACAGCATGGCACCTGCACCGGCACTCGGTTGGAGCCGAGTCTGAGTATTTTCAACGCTTCCCCCATAGATTAATCAGTTTATGCAGGAAACATGGTAAAATAAGCTTGCTCCCGGCAGAAGTCTTTGTCCAAGGATTATGATGGAAAGAACAGGTGAATTCAGTATTCTTAGGCCGCCGGATTGAAATTGTGCTTCCCCAGGTGGTATGGTCCACCAGAATGAACGCAGCACAAAGTCTATATAAAAGTCGAGTATACGAGTGAGATACTGTGATTCATGACAAGCACAAGGCGTGTAGAACTCCTCTGTTATCACGCAACATTAAGTTTTGGACTGGGGAAACAATGCCCAGGAGGTACCTCGCACCGTTGTTACGTCGAGCGCCGTGTTATTTGAATAGACTTTTGACACTGGCGTGTAGTTTAGACTACACGTGCAGAACCCCTAACCCGGTAGCCCTCCCTCCGATGCTTCCCTCTCCGCCCTCTGAATTTTGAGGGCTGGAAACGGCAACGACTCTTCTATGGTTTGCTCATAAAAAGCCCATGTGCGATGATTCTTCCTTACTCTTTCATCCTTTGACTGGAAAAACTCTGAAGAAAAAAAAAGACTGTTCTGACATATTCTCACTATGTCATTCTGCATCTCTCTATGCCCTGAACTTTCCAGATTTTTGACCAAAGCACCTCTTGGAGCTGCTATGCAAGCCCCTGAATCACTTTTAGCCTCTGAATTATTATATGCCCCTCCACAATTCGGCCAACCACTCCCAGTACACCTCAATCCGAGGTTTCCCGTTGTCCCCACCCTAATCCTCACCAACCTTGCCCATAGAGACAAGAAGTATGAACTCCCTGCTGCTAACATTCCAGCCTTACAATATTCAAAGCCGTTAATTCAGTCTACTGTATCTTGCTTTGGCCCAAGGGGCATTGAGCGTATGGCATTCGTATGCATTACCAACCCCTGACTTTCTCATTCCTTCAAGTCTTGCTGATAATTTTAACTAGTACTTTCTCACAAAGATTGAGAAAACGCTCTACCACATTTTCCGGTTAAAGCGGCGGGGACTATATAGCACGCTTGAAGGTCTCGCACGGAAGATTGCAAGTGACTTTGTTTGGGCTGCTATAGAGGGGTGCACAGCTACCTTTAATAGCGATCATCTGTTGGACTTGGCCGAGACTCTGCTTGGAGGTCTCTTGGCCAAGCTGGAGGTTAGCGGTTTTCGACTTTCCTCAATGCCATTACCGGTATTATTATTCCTCAGCTAATATGTGGTTTCACGTATTTACGGGATCTATAGCTAGACTGGGAGTTTGCTTGCCGCTTTGCCGGCCGCGGTGGGGAGAGGCTTCGCGCTGCCTGGGTCGAGCGTTTGAAAAGGGCAGAGGACTGTGACCTTGAGAGCTAGCTTGCCGATGGGGTATAGGGACAGGTTATTTGTGGAAATTTTGGGAGGACTAGGTTTCGGAGCAGAGCTTAGGATCCCATTGGAGCAGACCAACGATTGAGGGACTGTGAAGGCGTCCTTGAGCTGGTTGTCTGACTTTTTCTACTAGCCATAGTTGGCTTTTTTCTTTCTTCTTTCCCCTCCGGGCACGAAATCACTTGGAGATAGAGATTATGGAGCAATAGTGGCTTTATCTAGCAGGGAAAACCCATTGACCAGTTCTCGTGAGTGATATTATAAGAACTCCTAAGCGCATTCCTAGCGTCAGAGTTCTCGGAGGGTAAGGCTCCCTCAACGCTTCTGACCCGAAGGGATCACAGCTAGGCACTGCCAAGAGCCGGGGCAGAGGATGATGGCCCAGCTCCTAGCCCGTCTGGAGCGGTGATACCCTAGGCCCACTGGCCCTACAGGATGAGATGGTGGCGCTTACGGGGGGGAAGGCTGCAGGCTACCCCAAGGGATGGCCCCGAAGACAAAAGACGGCGGGGGAAAAGTGGGGAAAGGGTTAGCAGCGGGCGGCCTGAGTAATGCACCATGAGCTCGGCCCTGCCCATATGATACCAAATGGAGAATTGATCCAGCAAGCGGGATACTTGTACAAATGCCCAGGGTCTCTAGGCTTAAATCGTGAAAATATCTTATGAACAATATCCCGAATTCCATCCGCTGCTAGGGACAACGCTAGCTCCCACCGCACCCCACAGTACAGCCCAAGGAAGGGCAACTGGGTAATTGGGGCGGCAACAATATTTGAATTCCATATTATGGGGCATTGTCTATCGAGATAAACAAGATACTGGTATGCGGAGGCCAAATCAAGCGAGTCTTTGCTCAGAGTGCACATTCTGAATGACAGGGAATAAAGTGGCTGTCAACATAAGAGGAACATCTTGGTGGAGTGATATAAAGGATGGGGTGGGGCAGTGGCTAATTGATAGTATTTACCGCATCATACAGCACGGATGGGACTTTGGTATGCCCCGCACTTAGCCCCCCCCCCTCTGTCCACACGGGTTCGAACTCACAATAGCCTTGCCCTCCCTCGAGTCCGGGCCGCCTTGCGTGGGAGAGGCTTTAACCCTCTGCTTAATACATTTTACCCTCCAAGGGTATCCCGGCATTCATTTCTCCATCTATATTTTATATTTTACTATGTTGGGAGGCAGAGTGAGAAGAATAGGTCTCTCACATTTAGGGAGGTCCCAGTTCCCCAGACATACAGTCTCAGATATCTATTTACCCTCAACACTCAACGCCCTTCCGCCGCTCCCCCGCCTACCACCCCCGCTTCCCCCCAACTATGATATCATACCTTCGATATCCCGCGTCGTGAGATTAACCCCGATAACAGATCAAACATAGAAAACGAGTGATCCGGAATGACCTATCCCAATAGCTATCTTAGAACCCTCACTCACTCTTCTCAAACGCACGTTATTCGAGCTCCTCGACACAAAGGCATACAAAAGAACAGCGACGAGGCGTTAATTTTCAATAAAATAAATACGCATGTGCAAGTGGCGTAAATCGCCATACCGAGTTTCCAATCAGTGAAGACGCCCCAGTTTACACCTCCCCGAAGGCGAATCCGCCACAGGGGATTTCCAAACACTAGTTGTTCCCACGAGCCTCGGTGCATAACATGTCTCTAGCACGGAGTAGATATACACCGCCTTCCTCACACATCTCACGAATCCAAAAGAATGGCAGTCCCGAGTTGGTGAGCTCTAAAAGAGGGCATCCAAGAACAGGCCCTTTCTGGACTTTCGCCAGTTTGTGTTAGCAGTGCCGTAGTTCAAATCCTTAGGATTCACAACCCAGCTCTCCCTGTACTTGTAGGGTAGGAGGTACAAGGTGAATATATCCTCTCCGGGAGCAAAAATCGATCAAGTCAATTTGCAGATTGTGTGCATCCCACTCTGTAAATAAATCTCGAACGCGTGTCCAGAATTCGGTGGCGTGGGGAGTCGGTACCAAAGGGTTGGTAGTATAGCCGGTGAGGTCTGTTTTTCCATTTTCTCTCTTTGTTCAATTTATGGGGGAATTCCGGAAGTCGGAATATTTTCTAGTGGTCGTATTGGCTTTGTGATTCTGCTTCTGTGGGGGATACATGACAATAGAAGAGGAATATCGTACAGTATCATACTGCTGGTAGTATGACATCATACCCCTGGTGTCGTGCGAATCAGATACGATATACGAAACTACTGCATCCGTCAAGCCAACGCGTGAAATACATACTAACCTTCATCTTTATAACCATCGGGTGCCGTTCGTAAGGGCCTTTAGCCAAAGAGTAAGAATTGAGCCTTCCAAGATCGCTGAAACAGAATTGTAGCTTACTCTTTGGATAAATCGATGTATTCTGACAATTCTTGTCTATTTTTACCTTTTATCTAGACTGGATTCAGGCTCAATATTTAATGTCTCATTACAAGAGACAACTGGACCAAATGAGTTACGCAGACAATGCTTGGTTTGAATCAGGTTCCACTACGATAATATTAATGTTTGGTTGGAGGTTGGGTATCCAAATTATTCTCCAGGTAGATTTATTACGAGGCCTAAATCAGAGGATTTTTACCCAATAGGAAGAAACCCGTTTACCACATACAGTCGCACCCCGTTGTCCCGGACCTCGCTCTCCCGGATTCTTCGCTGTCCCGGATGAATTTCTATGAATTTATAAATTTCTTTACACCAAAACCGAACCTGTTGTCCCGGCTGTCCCGGACGGATTCTTAGGATTTTGGCCATCCGGGACAACGGGGTGCGACTGTAACTTAAACTCCATCATCAGAGATTTCAATCAAAACCACTAACCAAACTACAATAGGCTTATCCTAGCAGATTAATAAAATTATAAATATCAGTCATCGAGATCTGCAGGGCAACTCATTCCTACGCTACACTCTGTCCAGAAACCACTATCCCCTGCCAGAGTATTTTGTCTCTAATTTCCAGATCTGATAGATGATAGTAAGATTCAGCAGATATAGTATTGGACCCATCCCCCATTCAGTACCGTATATAATCTGACACTCAGGCGGCAGGCAGATCTCACTTGCTCCGCCCGAGGCAAGGCGGTTACCATTTGACAGTGTTGCCGCCCTCCTCGCGAACTTAGCCCCCCCTCGCCGCATCCAGATAGCGCGGGACGGACGGACGAACGGGCAGACACGCACTATACGGTAACCGTACACGCGCCTATACTACTAGTAGTACTAGTACTCGAGTAGACTTTCTCCCCCTCAAGAAGAAAAAACACCCATGTACCACGAAAATGAGCCCCCCATCCTGGATAAATTTACCACTATTAGTGTTTTTTTTTCTTTTCTTTCACAGACCCGGCGTGCAGTATGATACCGCATGGCAAACCTCAACCGCAACGACCCCCTTTTTTCTCAATAAAAAATTAAAATAAGAATAAAAATAAAATAAAAGCATGAGAGGCCAACGAGACGGGCACCGGACTGTACAGTACGAGTACTCGTACCTGGAAAGGGCGCGAGAAGCCATTGCGAAGGCTGATACCGTGCTACCGTACTTGTACTAAATTTAGTACTGTAGCATACTCGAGTGTAGTACCGTACCAGTACGGTACCGGTACCGGTACACTCCTCAGCCCCCTTCCAAGTAAGGACCTACATGTACTAGTACTCATACATATACCGCCTACCGTAGTCCCTTGGGGGGGGGGGGGGTCTTAGCTAATCCTCTCCCGCCTCAATCCTTAAATTCAAAATAAATTGTGGTAAATGTTTTTTTTTTAAAACTACATCGTGCAGAGGGCTATCCAAGAACAGTTATGGTTTACCTTTGGTGACAATTATGGCATCATATCAGCTGGGGGGATATCACGCTACCCAGAACGGGCAGAGTGCGAGTACCCGTATGATACCCGTACCGTTACTGCACTAGCGCAGCACAAAATCCGCGCCAGGACGCCATACCAATTCCATGAATGCCATCATCAGCTTAGTCATACCGGTAGAACTTGGTTGCCATCGTTTTCTCCAGACTGGGGTAAGTGAATTGACATTGTATACCGGTTACAGGTTACGAGTAAGTTAAGTTACGGTACGAGCCTGGAAAAACGAAAAGAAACTCATCCTATCATATCATACCCCCCCCCCATTTTCCACGATACAAAAAAAATACCGATTTTCACTATGAGCCCGTCCAGCAGGAAAAGAATGGGAAAAATCTGTCCATCTTTTTAGTTTTTTCTTTTGTTTTGTCTTTTTGGGTAGAGATTGACATGATTGAATTCCGGCTTGCGGGAAGTTGTTTCGAACGTCTAGAGTGCCGATTGGTAGACTATGGGAGTTTGCCATATTATATATGATACCATACATGGAAGCAGACTAAGTTGGTGCGATTTCTGGTCTCGGCTTCGGCGTCCCGGACTATTGGTAAAAATCCATTACGTTAAGATCTCTATAGATGTCTAGAATATCATGCACGATACACTATCATGTATACAGTACGGCACACCCAGGAACCGGCGAAACAACCAATTACATAACAGTAGTCTACCAGTAAGGTCCCGTCTTGGCCCGCCGCGGATGGAGCCGTTCCACGATTCGATAGAAACGCGATCCGGAACCGTGGTCACCCCGCCACGGTAAGAAATTTACCATATTACACTATCATAATAATGTCATTCATTATGCTCCCTAAGCACGCGTCAAAAAACACCCATTCTGATATACCGGTAGTATAATACAGTTACCGGTACCGACTTTTTTTTAAAAAAATTAAAATTAAAATAAATAAAAAATCCCACCACTACTTCTCCACATCGGGCCGAAACGAAGTCTTTCGAATCGAATCGACGAACGACGGTAGACTATGGGAGCCGAACAAAAGGCCTTACCATCATAAAAAATCTAAATAAATAAATAAATAGAAACTTACTATACCGTACCTGCTGATCCGGAATTCACCATAACCACTTTTTTTTAAAAAAAAATTGCAGTATATATATAAAGCGCGACGAAATAATAATAATAATAATAATAATTCGACTTTTTTTCCTCCACCAATACGTGCACTACGTACGATACTAACGCACAGCACATGGCAGGAAAACAAACCAACGCCGTCACAAGTACTCACTCGAGATTACGACGAATGATCCCGGCACACCGTCCGGTCCAGTATCATATCTCCGATTAGAGTGGTATCGTGTCATACTACAGGTAGGTTCGGGGGGCATATATGATGGTATGGTATAGT